CGCTAGAGTTCAGCAATGCTATTCGCTCGCTAGCCAGCCGACAGGTTGTGCGGGCTGTGGCGGCTCGTGACCCACGGCGAGCGAAACACATCCAGAGCTATGGGGAGTTCATGGTCATCGCCCGTACCATTGGCAAAAACATCACAAGCACCTACACCAAACTGGAGAAACTAACACTGTGTGAGTTTATTGAACTTTTTGTTGAATATAGGCTAGTTAGTTGTGTCTTCTCATGATATACACTTTCTTATTCCGAACGGTTGTAAAAACAGTTCAAGAACTGAAATGGTGGCGATTATTTGTGCTTACAAACAATACTGTCACCAAAATTACCAGGCCTAAACTTATCACAGTTAACTTAACTTACGAAGTATTGGGACAAATTTCAACTGTCTTTCCATACATTTAGGCCTTTTTAATTTGAAAATGAGTGTTAATTAGCCTAATGGGTAAATAAATGGACAGCAGGTTGTCTTTAGGCTTCCAAATAATGAAGGATATTATTGTGCAAATGTTATTGGGTGATATGCTTACTGAGTTTCTTGAGACTAAGTGGTTTGATTTACTCTACAAAAGACACTTACCAGTCAAGCACCTTTGGAATATTGACTATGCTGGGTGCCATAATACTAAGCGCCGTTTAATATATATCATTAAAATAATTAGTATGAGTTAGAATCATAACAGAATCAATAGTTCTGTTTAAAAAGGCACTTTAATGTCCTATTCAGTGGAAATTAGTTGGAAAAAATACCTAAAAAATTCTGGATCAACTTATCAGATACCTACCGCAATTTTACAGAGTTTTGCTGAATTTGTACAATTTTTGTTGTTGACGAATTTTACCTTTGTATTCAGCCAGTTGTGAATTAAACAAGACTATTGACAAAGGCCTGTCGGTATCTAGCTTAAAACTATCATTCGATAACTCCTAAACATAAAACGTAGGTAGCCTATTGTTTTCTAAATTTCTTTGACCTAATTAAAATGGGTAGCCTACAAAACCATACCAAAAATACAGATAGCTGCTGTTTTTATGATTCAAACTGTCTAAGTTGATCTATGCAAATTTTACAGCATTATATTGATCATAATTAGCATATAAGGTTACGCCACTGAATAGGCCTATTGAACTCGTTAAAGTGGTAACTGATATAATTTCCAACCATACCATCTTTTCAACATAATTAAGGACGCGTTCCGCCCCGCCAAGTCCCCCAGCGGTACATAAATATTAGATAACCAAACTAACATAGCAATAATATTTAACACATAAAAAGTTTTATCTTTTCACTCGCACCTAGTGGCCAAGCGGAAGTCGCTGTTTAACGATAGACCGGCTGAGATACAAGAGCTGACGTACATCGTCAAGGAAGATCTGAACAGTTTGAACCAACAGATAGCTCGGCTACAAGAGGTGTCTAAAGCTCAGAGACAGTCGGTGACCACGGGCACGCGACAGCATCTACTGTCCCACTCATCCAGTGTGGTGTTGGCGCTGCAGTCAAAGCTGGCCAACATGTCCAATGAGTTCAAACAGGTTCTGGAGGTGCGGACAGAGGTGAGAACTAAATAATATCATTGACTATTATGTATATTATGTATAGACTAGACACCCCGTTATTGAGTTGATGCCGGATTCGGACTGAAAATTTACGTATTGTAGTTTAAAAGAGCCAACAACATGCAGTAAATTACTGGTACTGACTTATGTTCAAAAACGCCAACTTTTTTACCAAACTAAATAAAAGGATATCGTAGCAGGTTTAAATTTATTTGCCAGTAGGCCTATGTCTATAAAATGTGTTAATATAATTGCTTTGTATGTGAATGTTAGACCTTCCTTTAGACCATTGAAACAAAATTTAACTACTTGAACTTCTAAACAGCCTTTAGGAACTTCCTTTCCACAGTTTGGATGAACTTTTTGAAGAGTGCAATAGGCCTAGAGTATTTTTTAATGTTTTAAGGTTTATCTAATCGATTGCAATTTGTACATTATTTAAAATACTTTTAAAAGCTTAGGTTAGTCTTTCTTTTGAGCCATACTCTTTGCCCTTATGAAATTATTTACCTGCCTGCTAAAAATACATTTGTTATAGGCCTAGTTAACAACTAAGTGCCCTGCCAAGTAATTATCTTGAACCGTTTAATGTCATCCATCCTGCTTTAGGCCTAGTTATAGTTTCGAGGAAAATCAGCTCATGATAATGGGTTTTAAAAGTCTTTTGTAACACATGTTAGCCTGTTAACAGTTTGATGACATCAACTGAGTAGCCTGTTTGCTGTTGTAGAACCTAAAGCAGGCCAAGTCACGGAGGGAACAGTTCTCCCAGGGTGGAGTGTCTGCGTCGCTGCCGCCCTCGGCCATGAGCGGCCCACACCACGGCTCTGTGCTGCTGGCCGACGAACAGCAACAGCAGACCAGCATAGACATGGGCGGCCATGACGGCACTGTGGCCACCAGAAGTGTGCTACAGACACAGGCGTTCATGTATGACGAGACGGTCAGTATCATGCAATGCCTAATTTATTCTAATTTTGTTTAACTACAGCTGCTCATCAGCTTGTTTATCATGCTGCCCATCACCTAACTGGCCTTTGACTACTGTCCAGTGAGGTTATCTAAAGTTTTACGGTATGAGTCACTTTGTCAAGTCAGAGGTGTGATAAATTAATAGCCAGACTCCAGAAACCTCTGGCTTATAAAACGCTACCAATCCAGCGCTACCACCGTGCTCGGTAATTTCCAAAAGATGATGAATATATTTAATTATTAATGACCAATAGGATAAACTTCTCAGTTTAGACAGGGTACTCGGCCAGTTAAGAAAGGGCAATTGTTGGGACAGTTTGGCGAGTAAACCCTATAATTCCTTTCTGAACACGTAAAAGAGGGACCTAATTTTTTTTTATTATTTGCTCATTACAAAACATTAAGATCATATAGGCCTATATTCCTAGTTATTAAATCAAACAATTGTGTTTATCCCAAATTAATTTCTCCCACCCAACTTACTGTAAGTAACTTATTAGTCCAACTGCATACTTTTCCAATATAGGTAACTTAGTACATTTTTATTTTATCGGATTTAAATATTATGTTCATCTTGTAAATTTTTTTCATAATAATTTTTATTACAACAATTTTAAGTCCATACAAGTAAATTTGCTTTGTCACACATTAAATGGAAATCTAGGTAGTAGGTTTATAGTTGTAATATTTTAGTGTAATACCATTAGACAAATATAATAAATATAGACTGTCAAAGAAAGGTTCCGGCGCCCACCGCTAGGTTTGCCGAGTAGTTACGGCGCACACTGCTGCAGGCGAGGAGCGCAGGAGCCGTATGCAACCAGCAGACGCTGCAGCGGTGTGCGCCGTAACTCCACGGCAAACCTAGCGGTGGGCGCCAGAACTTATACTAACCGCAGCACAGCTGACGGTCTATATTTATTCTATTTATCTATGGTAATACCAACAAGTCGCATTGTAACATATTTCTGTTCGCAGACTAACATAAACTTCAAAAAATGTCTTTTTTAGGATCAGTATTTATCAAACAGAGCTGAGACCATGCAGAACATAGAATCTACTATTGTAGAACTCGGTGGCATTTTTCAACAGCTGGCTCACATGGTAAAGGAACAGGAGGAGATGGTTGAACGGTGAGACTTTTTTAAACGATCCTAATAAACTTGTCATAAAGGTAACACAACTAATAGATTTTGAATAATGCTAACCATCCCCTTTAAGGAGCTAGATTTTATTTGATGTAATTTAACATTTTGAAATGGGTCAACTGGTAACTCAATAACGTGGTCTTAGGGTCTAAACAAGTAACATTACGTAATATGATTTGTACAGAGAAGTAAGGTACAAAGGAAACTCGCTTTTTGAATGAGTTTGTTGTGCCGGACATACTTGTGACGAGCAAAGAGCCTGAGTGGCAAATACTGTGCGGAAATTCCTATGGTACAGGGGTTTTCCTCCTCCAGCATTGTAGTGCATGAGGTTCAGGGGTGCAGTGTTGGACTTTGACCTAGACACCAGCTACTATTGCTAGACACCACTTTAGTACGTACCATTGAGTGTTTGGCCTTGTCGCAGATAGACGACAGAACACTAAAACTCCACTAAAAGTGCACTCAGTGTTAGTGCTCCATCGGATCACTAAGTGCTATTATTGGAGTAGTAATGCTCTTAAGATTGTCATCTACAATGCTCTGAAATGTCAACAGACCATGTTGGTGATGTGACACAGTTTTTACCATGAAGATCACAATAGCGTCATGACTATTTCTAACCTTTTTGGAATTAGTTTTATCACATTGAGTTTGTTAACAATATTTTATAGATTAAAAATCCCAAGTAGTTTTTTATACACGATTGTTTCCATACCTAGGAGAAACAATAATTTGTTTTGCTTCTAAAAATCCAGTTATTAAAAATTATGTGGTTGGATTAGGTAATCCTTTTATTTTATCAATATCGTATTATTTCTTGCCGATAACTATAACTTATGTTTGTAATTTGTTTGCAGGATCGATGCCAATGTAGCAGATGCGGAATTGAATGTAGAAGCAGCTCACAGTGAAATCCTCAAATATTTCCAATCCGTAACCAACAATAGGTGGCTCATGATTAAAGTTTTTGCAGTCCTAATATTCTTCTTTGTATTTTTCGTGGTATTTTTGGCATAGCCCTTGCCTTGGCCTATCAAGGACATTCCGGTTTCGGCTAAACTAAACGGTGTACAATTTCCAAGTGTAATATAGACCAATATAAAATGTTTTATAATATTTGTTGATATTTATATACAGTTATTAAGAATTATTTTGAGTATCATAAATACATTGTAAGTAAATTTTATTTAATTGCTTTATTTTCCTTTTCACTGTAAATAATTTTGATAAACTATATTAGTTTTGTGGAATACGGAAAGTCGGTGAGATGTATTGTGTAGTTGTTTACTGAAATAAGTAATACAAAGTTAAGATAAAATAAAACTTTATGTATAAAACTTTTACAGCTACAACACAACATCTAGGATTATGAAGAACATATATTATTTTTTCATCGCTCATATTCAGATCACTTTTATTGACTAGATTGGGTTAGATGCTGCTACGGGATGGTTGTTTCTTTCTCCGAAGTTTGTGTGTTGGATCTAACCTCGAATTCTCTTTCTGCTCTTAACCGCATTATCAGCATTTTTGGATCAATCACATTCTGTAAACAAATGCAAAAACTTTACTCATTATATTATTCTAAACCAAACACTAAAGGATTAATTTAATTTGGGAAGGTAATGGTGGATAGATATGTATACGACTGTGTAAACTTTTAAGCTATTAAAACAGTCAGTCTAAACAATCAACTGAAGAATGCAATGTTGAGTCTTCAAAGCTGTTTAAATATGTGCAACTGTTTCAACACACAAAGCATGATAATGATACCCAATGGTACTGTAATTATGTCAATACCCTTAGGCAAAATGTGTCAATGATTGCCAATGCAACACATTACCACAAATAGTTTGATCAAACCTACCTTTATAGGCTGAAGTGTAGTAGCTTCCTCGTTTGACAATGAAGGCAGAATATGTTCTAACTGCTCTCTTTTCCGACTAAGTCTGATTTCTTCTTGAGCAATATCAAGTTTGATCTGAAATTTACATATTTTATTAAGATTCATGAACTTTAAAGTGATTGATTCTTATAACTAAAATTGAACAATGGAAACAACTGTTGATTCCATTGTTCCTATCAACATTGTTAACAACATTGTGTGTTAAAATTTTAACATTTAAACAAGGGTAAATATTTGAAAACCTAAATTTAGATCAAATATCGTTCCTCCCCCATACCAAACACATGTTTTCGTCTGTGTGTTTATTGAGATAAAGGTAGTACACAATCAAATCCCTTTTTTAATTTCCAATCAAATATTCGATTACCAACCTTCATCAAATTCTTCTCTTTCTCTCTTAATTCTGTCTTCCTTCTTTCTACTTCTTGAAGCTTTTCTTCAGCCCTTTTCTCCAGTAGTTTTGCTTCCTCCAATGCTTGTTGGCCTTGTTGTTGATTTGCTTCTGACAACTGAATAATGGATTTACTCTCAGTATAATCTCTCAAGGTGTACAAATCAACTCTACACACACAACTAAATTGCATTCCTACCCTCAAAAATGACATGTGCAAGAAATCTAAAATAGATAAGGCGTTAGTATCAGAGTCAAAGGTATCGGCTAAGTGTAGCCTTCATAAACAGCCCCTGGTCCCGTGACCTTGAAGACCTCAAGAATAAGTAGATTTCCAGTTGTTTTATGGAGTTTTGTTGGTTGATATTGATTTTTCCCCTCCCTCCCTTATTATGCAATAACACCAATCCACCCTCACTTCTGACCTCAACAATGAATATTAAAATACTTCCCCTTCACTCATTTTAGATACTTCCTTCTCGAATACAATCTTTCCATTTATATTAGTTCGATCGCGTAACCATAGTGTTAACTGAAGATAGTCCTAACACTATTTACGCGAGTTACGTACACTACTTTACTACTTTTTATAAACTAATAATCACTCAAAACTTCTAAGAAAGGTTATGTTTTCGTTTATAACCCCAATTCAAATTGGTAAACAGCGTATTAGCTGAAGTTCAATACAATTTAGAGGTATAAATACCTGCGTCAGACGATCCAAATGCTCTGCTCGAGCTGTCAAATCTTCCTCCATTTCCTTCACTCTCCAGCGCTCGGTGTCAAGAAGGCGTTCCTTTTCCCTCAACTTCCTTCTCTCCTCTACAACTTGTAGCTCAGCATCTCTTGCAGCTTCAAGAGCCCCATGGACTTCTGCCTTAGACTACAAAAGAGAAAATCAATTCATATATGAACACTTTTCAGCTTTAAATGTAATGAGCAAGAGAAGTGAGGAAAAGAAATTGGTCTAACCAATCAAATCATTTCAGCTGCGTGTTAAATTTTATGATTATCTTCTAAAAGAACTAGGAGTTTCTTTATATGAGAATTAGTGACGCAGAATTGTTAAGATAAGAAACCACCATTACAATACCACCAGTACAATTTCATTGATTGTTAACCCTTTGAGTGCCAACGTCCGGGGAACCGGACGTTTTTAAAACGAGCCAAAAGTGCCAACGTCCGGCTGACCGGACGTTTCGTAATGATCGAACAGTTGTCATAACAACCGAATGGATACTCGGATTCTTTTAATCCATATATTAACATTGAGTCGAAAGTTACTAGATGCGATACATCGATTTTCGTTGATCGAAATATTGAAAATTCGATAATTTTTACAAAATTTTAACCTAAAAATCGCCAGATCGCGCTCGGCATTTTTAGCGCGACCTTCGGGAAAAATCATCGGCATTTTTTGAGCGTTACTTTTATTTCTCGCCTGGCACTCTAAGGGTTAATTTCCGATTTTCACGCACAACTTGTCGTACTCGCTCAATGTTTATGTCATTGACTGCTGTTGAAGGACGTCCACTACGAGGGTCATCGTCAATGCTTTTACGGCCTTCACGAAACCGATTGTGCCACTAAGTTGCCAATAAAGGGTTTAGTTAAGTTGTGCCATAAAGTTGACTTTTCTTCTTTGCCTCTTCTCCATGACCTTGAATTAACAAATCAAGAGTCTCACTATGTGGTGTTTTAAGTAAAACATAGAACTCAATGTACGTACGCGAATGGTGAAATGCCATTTTATATTGAAGGTACACGACCGACAGTAACCGACAATGTAGACTTGAAGGTACACGAAAAGTGCTTACCAATGCTAGACTACGGCTCGTCAGCTATACTCCCACTACCGAAATGCCCTCCCTAGGAGTAGTAAAAACTACTGCAAGGTGAATTTCCCCCTGGCGATTGTGCTATATGTCTACAGATCTTTTTGACCGTTGTATGTATTTTCCTGATCATCTTATCCTACTTTACATATCTTATATCTCACTTGTAAAACATCGAATGTCGCAGAACCACTGACTCCCTGCAGTTTTGCTAAAGCATCCAGTTTGGCTTTTTCCTCCATGAGTTTTAACTTTTCAGAAGCAAGAGAAGATTGTTCGGCAAGTATTCTTTCTTGCATATCCTGCAACGATCATTCTAAAGTAGTAACACAAATATGCTAGACAATAAATATTAATTCATTTAGGATAATAAAAGGACACATGGCAGATAGCAGAAAAGAGGCATTCTAATTGGGCTCCATCTTGAGCAAAACACCAGAAACTAGGTTATTCAAATTTCTGGTTAATTGAAGTAACAACTAACTAGCGATTCATTAATGATTTTTTTCATTAGAACCAAATAATATTCAGTGAAAATATGCTAAAGAAATTCAGACAAACATACAACTGAGAATATGGTGCGCTAAAGTAAACCACTTAAAATAAAATTTATTAGAAAACTAATCAAAAAGAACCTTATAATTTTAACTTGAAAGAAGATTGTTGAAACTAAACAAGATGTATCTTTAGTCTGGTGGCAATGGAATGTTCAATGGAATTGATAGCCACTGTTTGGTTCACCAATGTCCATTTGCTGTCATAAAACGAGTAGGCATTGATCAAACGGTGGGGCACACGAGAGGGACTAAGGCTAAGCGAACATATCTTGTAGTGTCAGCGTTCGCCGCTAGAACCGCTATGTTGAAACTTTTTAATTATAAAATATTTTTTTAAATTATAAAATTAATTTTTAAAATTAAACTGTCATAACATAACCTAACCAACCAGACTTGCTAATGATATAAAAACTATATAAGATAAAAATCTTATTAATGATTACTTATAATTTTTAATTATAAAATTAATTTTAAAATTTAGTATTATAAAATTAAACTCTCATAACCTAACCTAACCAACCAAACTTGCTGATACTATAAAAAAGATATAAGATAAAAATCGAATAAAGGTTCAATATTTAAAAAAAGTTCTGTTCATAAATAAAATTATAGATGCATCAAATTCTAACAAAAGATGTACAGTTAAGAAGTATTCACATTCTAAGCAAAAATCGTTGACAAAAAGTTAATGTCCCCGGCTGGTTTCGAACCCAAGACCTCCTGAACACCAATCCGAAACGCTACCAACTATGCCACAAACGCCGCTGAAATCACATCGTCTCGTTACGGTAATCGTGTTGCCCCAAGAGAAGACATTAGCCACTAGAGATATGACGTCACTACACCTTTAGCCTTAGTCCCTCCCGTGTGTCCATTCCATTGACCAAAGACCAGCCCCAATCTGTAAATATTTAGAGGTAAGGGAAACTAATATAATGCTTTCTATAAAAGTAAAATAAATCATACCTCCAGCTGTTTTCTTAGTTCATAGTTTTGTTGTTCTGTATGGGTCTTCTCTTTATCAAACTGTTGTTGTTGATATTTCAGTTGGTTCTTTTCGCGTTTTAACTGTCTTGATAGTTCTTCATATTTCAATCTATCTTGTTCTTCTTTTTCATCCAGTTCCTCTGATTTCTTTTCAAGTGCTGACTTTTTTGCCTCCAATTTTTCTTGTAAAGCTAAGGTGAGTTAAAAAAAATTTAGCAAAAACATTATTATGGCGAATTTGAACACTTACAATTGGATTTTTTAATCAAACGTTTAAAGCTTACAATTAAATGAAAAAATTACCATCTTCAATAAATAAAAATAAAAAATGTAAATATGCACAAGCTGGTCTTTCACTTTCGAAATGAACATATTTATAGAATTTGAACCCATAATCACAGATCCTGAATGTGATTTGCTTAAACTCTTTGCTCTCAACTCCTGTCCAGTTGTTAAAAATGTTTACCTTTCAGCATATTTTCTTTTCTCAGTATTTCTTCTTCCTTTTCAGTAAGTTGTGTGGGATCCAATGGTTTCCAAACCTGAAAAGCGGTTTGTTTTTGTTCTTCTCTGTAAAATATTCACAAAATAGTGTAAAGAACTGATAATTCAAATGTCACCTTCATATAGGTACATTATATACTAATATATGGGGTTAAAATAAATGTGCTACTTTATGCAGACGATATTATTCTCCTTTCCCCAACGAGCACTGGGCTGCAGCATATGATTAAAAAATTAGAAAACTATTGTGACACTTGGAATCTAACTGTCAATCTAAATAAATCTAAGATAATGGTGTTCAGAAAGGGTGGAAGACTAAAGGCAGGTGATAAGTGAAGGTATAAAGGAAACATTATCGAGGTGGTAAATCAGTATAAGTATTTAGGGGTTACATTTACAAGCAACCTATCATGGAACAGCCATTTTAAGAAAAAAGCCAGAGTAGGAAAATTTGTTATCAATTCTGTATGGAATTCTTTATTTAAAAACAATAAAGTGCCAATGATTTCCAAAATATCGTGTTTCGAGGCTGTTGTGCGATCGACAATCTGTTATGGAGCACAGACCTGGGGTTTCATAGAAAGTGAAATAATAGAATCAGTACAAACTTTTTTTCTAAAAAGAATATTTGCACTGCCTTATAATACGCGAAAATATGTATTGTACCTTGAAACATACTTCGATAAACTTTATTTTTACACTATAAATTTAAATATTAACTATATTTTGAGATGTTTAACTTTGCCACCCAAAAGATTGCCAAACTTTTTAGCAAAACAAATAATCGAGAAAAAAAAACATCTTGGTGTAGAGAATTAGAGTATTTGGGACAAAAATGCAATATTGAGTTTAGTTTCCAAGATCTCGATCCAGAGGGGTTGGGCCTCCAGCTGAGGACGGTGGCGGAAGTGTTGCGTGGCAGGTGGAGGGAGGAGTGTGTTGGCCGAGCGCGGACCTCTGTCCACCACAGGCAATTACTGACGCTCGACCTTGAACTTGGCGATAGGAGCTCAATAATGCTCAACAATACGCATATCGCTTCTTGGGCTATTAAAGCTAGAGCAGAACTGATAAATCTAAACTACAAGCCGTGGTCTGAACAAAATTATCTTTGCACTCTCTGTAATCTTCAACAAAATGAAACTGCATATCATTTTATTGCAATTTGCCCTATTTTAAAACATATCAGACGTCTTTGGCTTGGAAAAAATACTTTAAACGAAACAGAATATGAGTGTTTTTTAAATGGGTGGAATTGGCGAGCTTTAGCCCAGTATTTAAGTAAGGCATGGAAATATAGGTGGGACATAATTAATGAGTTCAATTTATAGCTAAAATTTCTTTCTTTATTTATTTCTCTTCAACTATAATTAAAAATCATGAGACTCGCTTGGAACCACATTTTTAAACGAATTAATGTTGCTTTTATTTTATGTTTTTTACGAGCTGTATTACATAAATTTAAAAATAATTATAAATGTACTTTTTTATATAAGTATACCTAGTTAAATAGTTACTTACATGTTACAGTTTTAAAATATGTTATTTTACAGCAAGGTGCCAACCAAACAGACGGTTTAAATAAACCATTGTTTTGTGTGTTTTGTTTTTTATTGTAAAAGATGTAAATAAGTTGTGAAGAATAAAGCACTTTTTTCTTTCTTTTCTTTCTTTCTTCTTTCTTTCTTAATTAACTTACCATCACAATAATTTCAATCTAAATAAATTGATTAACTTGAAAAGGAATAGTTACAAAATATATTTTTTCATCTTCCATTACCTTTATGTTTCAAACTTAAGCTATATTTGGCATATAAGTCAAGGATCTGTCAGAAAATGGTATTCCTTTGGTGTATTTTTTTTTACTTTGAAGGCAGCCGCACACTAGACCAACCACGACCACGTCAAAACGCCCGACCCACAGAGAACATAATAAAATGTTGTTTTGTGTTCGCTGGACCCGACCACAACAAGCTGCAGTTTCAAGTTGGATGTTGACGAAGTAGCTGATGTAGGTAGCCTATGTTAAGTGGAAGACAAAACTATACTGGGTGCATCCAATGTTAACTGTACTCCCAAGCTCCCTTCTTCATTCCTCTTTTGGTATAATCTTCTGACGATAGATTCCATAAACAGGGCATTTCTTTAATAGCCATAATAAAACCCTCAGTGTCAAAATCTAACTGTGACATTATAAGAGAAGTTATTTCACACATCACTTTAAAAAACAAGTGATCACCGTTTGCTTGATCTAGGATTACCTACTGGTTGGAGTAAAGTCGAGGCAGTGCGCGTCGCGCCGTAACAATTTGTTCTAATTTTGGGGGGTCGGGCCTGACCTAATTCTTCGGAGTTTGGTCATCCGGCCAGTGGGCTGTCCCATTTACACCTATTGTAAAACTGGCCGTATCTGACAGGTCGAAGTAGTGGTCTGGCTAGTGCACGCCGGCCCTCATGTTTGGCATCACCTTGTGTTGAAAGTCTTAAAAAAGATAAAATGCTTTACTGATTGAATTAGTGGCAGATACAAGGGGGGTTAGAGGGAGGTGTCCTATTGGATATTAGTTGTAGAATAGTTTACTTTGCTTTACACTGATAAACCTTATCTTGCAAAATATTTGTGGATAGCTTTTATGTTGTGTTTTCATTACCTTATTGTTATTATTTATATTATTATAGTAGACACATACAAAGCACCCTATAATTGTTTGGTAGCTAGCAAACTAAACACACAAAACACTAAAAGCATCTCTGTTAACCTTCATTAACTTATACACTATTACCTAACAGCTGGAGCTACCAATTGACTGATAGCCATCATCTGTTCCAATGTAACCCTATGGAATTCCATCAGCTGTTTAGTATCTTCTGTCTTCTCCTCTCTCAGTCTCTGAATCCTCTGATCATGATGAGCCTGTAATTCTACCTGACTCTCCTTCAGTCTTACGATTCTCTCTTTGTAGTCTTCGCACATTTGGTTTGTCAAGTCCTTTTGGATCGCAAGTTTCTCTTCCCACGACTCGATTTCTCGCCTTTAAACATTCACAATTTAAAATTATACTATGTTGTTGTGTGCAATATAACTCCAATCTAGAAACAGAAATATCACCAAAGATATAATTTTTTTGGTTTAATTGATATGGAGCTGTAACAAACGTAGCTATAACAAATCGTGTGCCCAAAATTATTTTGATTTTAATGTGTCTTTGTAAGAAAAAACTTCCCACCCTTGTAATATGTTATTAAAATGTTTAACTAATAATAATATAAAAATAATAAAATGTTTACACTGCATCATGGGAAAAGCATACCTGTGTTGTACCTGTAGAGATTCATACTCCATTTTGTAATGTTTTTCCATTAACTCCATTCGGAGTCTTAATTCTTCATTTTCAAAATTAGCCTTGTGAATTTCTCTCTAGAAACAAAATGTAGTGATAGTCATTGGTGTTTTAATTAATGTGCTTGACTGCAATCACTCAATTGCATTATTTAGGTTTAATCTGCTTGATTTTGATTTCAGTTTTGATGAATTATTTGTTGTCCCAGTGTGTGTTTAGCCTTATAGCACTTTTTTATCTTTTATTCACTGACTAAACTTAGAGGAAACCCCTTAGGTAAGCCCCTGCAAGATGGCTTGGAATTTGTTAGCTGGAATTTTGCACATCAACCAGAAATACGGCAGAGCTAGCAAAAATAGAAACAAACAGTCATAAATTCCCTGAGGAAAATATTTTGCCCAACAATCTCTTAGCTTTAACATGTTAACATATTTTTACGCACTAGCAACTGACTAAAGAATTCCTCAATTATTAAATCTGTCAATATAGATTAGCAAATTATGGTAGATATATAAAACAAATTTGTTGTCTCAAAATGAACGATAATTAAAATTAAATTATGAACAACCTTTCAGTTAGGTTCAGTCAGTTATATCTTTTAAAACTATGGTTGTAACCTTATTTTACCTCTAAATCTTTCACAACTGTCTCTTTCTTCTGACTGTTTTCTTCAGAATCCAAATCTCTTGTAGGAATAGTTTGTTGGAGGATATCAATTTGAGGTGATGTTGCTGTTACATTTTCAGCAAGAACCTGCCAAATAATTCATCATAAAGATTTAACACTGAATCTACTAGTCCTCAGCAAATTGCTTCACTCAAAAGTAGGAATTAAATTTTATTTTAGGTGGTACCTCAGTATCCAATAGTCAATGGTGGTACTTTCAGGAATTAAGATGAGTAAAGGATAAGTTTAATGAATAAATTAGAAAGAATTATTATTATTATCTGATGATCTTGAAGATGACATATAGTAATTTTTAAAAGACCAGAGATTTAGAGTAACCTAGATCCAGTTTATCTATTTTTTCAAGCAGGTTAACCATTTCTATGCATGCTTCTCTTCTTACTACCCTGACAAACAAAAACTGTAGAATTTATGGGTTGCGATAGCATTAAGTGTTCTAAACAAAGTTGTTTTATTGTATTTATTTTATTTTTTTGCAAACAAGTAGATACATCCCTAACTGAACTCGCAACAAACCAACAAAATATAAGGTTGAACTTGATGGACTGATTATGAGCTTATTATTGTGATATATGATCGAGTTCACCTGTAGAAGTTGCTGAATTCTCAGTTGTTGCGCTGAAAGTTGTTTCTCTAGCTGTGACTGTCTGTCTGTCTGCCTCGCTACCAGCTGACTCAACTGTCTCTCCTGGTTGTCCAGCAGACTGCGTTGTCTAGCACACACAGCTGTCAGATTACCCTGTGTCGTCTGCAGCTGCAGAGCGGTCAACAGCTGTGCTTCAGTTCGCTGCAGTGCCAAGGTAGTTTGGTGAGATTGTTCTGAACTGGTGGCAAGTGCTTCTTTAAAGGAATCCACCACCTGATCAGCTGTTGTAAAACAAATACACAATTTCCTAATGTCATAAACAAGAATATCATGTTCTAGGCTTGTTCATTGAAAAATTTGACCTAAAGCCTTTTGATTATTTATTATTTATAGAACTAGACATTCCATTCCCGCGTTAAAGTTTTGACCAGGTTTTACATCAAAATTGGTGTAGTTGAGCCACCAACAGATTGCGCTGACGGATATGCAGGTTTTTTTAAACAAGACAAACTGATGGTTCATAGGTAATCTACCTGGGACATCTTCTTAAGTATCTAAAAGGTCAATGCTTCAACATAATTACAGCTTAAATAAATCAATAAAATAACGCATGTTTCAACCCAATTTTTGTGGATCCTGTACCGGTGTAGAAACTACCTCTCCTGAAAAAAATTGTAAAATCTTTGTGGTAAATGCCCTTGAAATTGAACTACTGTCCTTAAAAAAACATAGAAGGTAAATCATAAACAAAGATCACTGTACCTGGATCTATATCCTTCTCCAGAGGTTGTTCTATTTGTTTTGTTTTATCTATAGTTTGACTGTTTTCTAATTTGGCTGGTGTTATCTTTTGTTTTTCCTCGTCATGTTTTGTTGACTGTTTCGGATCTATGCTTTTGCTCGGTGTGATACTGGGACCCCCTAGCCATGTTGGTAAACCATCTGTGAATTACACAAAGGAATCAATTTTAAAATATCAAAAAATAAATACTAATGATTCACAATTCCTACGTCACTCAGCTTGTCCGCTATTAATTTTCCATCAAAACCCCATAGCAAATCAAAATAAAAAGAGTTTACAAAGCAATATAACAATATGAATACAATTTACAATGAAATACCTACCAAAGGTTTAGCTCATTTATAAACCAAATCAAAATGTTATCTATAGCTAACAAATTATACACATACCGTGGACTTCTACTGCTGATTTAGTAGACTCTATCTTTGATTTTGAAGTTTCTTTCTTTGCTTGTGGTTTTGAATCTGGTGACAAAAGCCAGTCATTCTGGAATCTTAACAGAGTAATTAGATTGAAATTGTAGAACGAATCACAAACATAGATATAAATAATATTTTCAAACACCTATAATAAAGTGTTAAAGGTCTTAGTTTTTTTTATATACAACGTAGACATGTTTCTTTAGAGTTTTAAATTTGAGTCCCACAATAAAATCACAATAGGGCGTAAATTCAAATAGAAATAATTATTTAATTGCCTGTATATTCCATACATCTAACCGGAGAGTGAAATTGAAACTATGTAACTTATTAGACAGTTTGTATGGACAGTTAGATGTTTTCCTTACGCAGTGACAGACTGTTGTTTAACAGGTGAAGTAGGCTCTCTTCTACGTCCCAGAGTTGGCCTCTTTGAAGCTGTAGCAGACGGAATGTATTGTCCCAAGGCAGATAAACTGTCATCTTTTCCATCCTTTGGCAGGTTTTCAATGTTCGCTTATCATAAAACAAGAAACATTTACAGATTCATCACAAGGTTTTGAGTTGACTTGACATACAATGACCAAACTAGATATATCAGTGTACAGGACTGTGTTTTCCACTATTTGTGGTTGATGGGTCTTGGTAAAGTGCTGCGTAAAGCGATGACAACTGAAAGACTGCTGCTGTCAGGGAAAAATAAACTACATAGCTCCTTCTGAAGGAAATTAACATTTAGATACGGTAAATTGAACAACTATAAGTTTAAAGCAAAATAATTTAACCATTTTTTTAACTTTCTTGTCACAGTTGCACTGAAAAAAAAAATATGTACGGTATATTAAATATGACTTATTGGGACCACACGTAACGAGAACTAGCGGTATCTAAAAGCTTAAAAGGATTGAGATATGTTTTAGTTAGAAATTTTGATCTCTATGACTATCGAAACCCAAGAAAACTTAATTTATAACTTTCATTTATGGTATAGCCTCTGGATCACTGATTTTACAATAAAAGGTTTAAATTACTGTATCCGTTAAGTGATCCTGGTTTGTAGTAGGCTGACTACAGCTGTTTCATGTTAATTTTAACACATCTTCAGGTCAAATTGTTGCATTGATTTATTCCATAGAATGGTCGTCAAAATAACACATACACATTCACGAAACATAAAACAATTATTGGCCAAAACACAAAACGAAAAAGCGCGTAATAAACATCGGACACGTACGGCGCCAGTAGGAGGTAGGTCATGACTGATCGGCGCCGTACGTGACCGATGTTTATTATGCGCTTTTTCGTTTTGTGTTTTGGCCAATCAGTGTTAAATGTTTCGTGTACGTGTATGTGTTATTTTGACGACCATTCTATGGAATAAATCAATGCAACAATTTGACCTGAAGATGTGTTAAAATTAACATGAAACAGCTGTAGTCAACCTACTATAAATCAGGATCACTTGACGGATACAGGTAATTTAAACCTTTTATTCCAAGAAAACTCTTATGTGTTCAGGTAATAAGTAGGTAGTATAAAATGTAAAGTCAACTCGTTTACAAGATGTATTACCTTGGGATTCAATGTTCAACATATCTGCTGGTTTCACAGCAGAATTTCTCCGACTTTTGTTCTTCTGAATGAGAGGGCTGTCACCAAATAGCTCGTCAAAAATGGCACTTTTCTTTTCTTTGATGTTTTCAACCCCTTTGAATTGCTGATTCTCTTCTAGCAATCCAAAAATACTCTCATCACCTTTAACAGATTTTGTTTTCTGATTTTCTTGCGTTTTTATTTCACCCTCTGATTTTTTTACTAATGGGATTCCTATTTCTTTGGAAACATTTTTGGATGGCCTGGGATTCACATCAAGATTAGGAGTTTTGGGTGGCTCTTGAGCAGTTAAGCTACTGGGTGTCTCAGTTTTTGAAGTTTGAATACCAAAACTCTCCCCTAAAATTGGTTTAGAAGGAGTTTTCACAGGACTCTCCTTGATTCCAAGCCAATCTGCTGCGCTTTCTTGCTTCTTCTTATTGTCCGTTACAACATCGTCTTCATCATCGAGTCCAAACAAATTGGCAATCTTCTTTGACTTTGTTAGCTTATCTTTGGAAGGAGTTTTAGGTGCTGTGATATCCCTGAAATTATCATGAAATAAGAATTAAAATTGGCGATATACCTAATTCGTGTTGAATCATTATTTTTGTAAGATACCAATATGATGCGGTGAATGTTTTTTTTTTTCAGATCAATAAAACCAATTAATTATTGGTTATCATGTGTCTATTACATGTACAAATCTATATAATTAATACGCTACATATGAAACTTTGTCGGTTGAACTCCTCCGCCATTACTTGACCGATTTTATCCATTGACGTCTCATTGGAAAGAGCGTGTCACGTAGATTTGAAAAAGTCCCTTGGGCTCTGCCCCAGTGGCTTTGAAAGTTTCCATGTTATCCTTATGAAGAACATAATTGTTTACATTTTGATCAGCTGTATAATTTAATTGCTGTTATTTATTTTTCAATTCCACGAAACGCATTGAGTACATTTATTTACTATTTGAGTTTGTGTAAACATAACCCCCAAGACGGATCGTGTTGTGTTAGTATGGTTGTATCTTAAATTTGTGCATTTATCGTTGTTTTGTGTAGCTATAATTTGTTTATGTGTTGTTTTTTCTTTTAAATTCTCTGCACCTGACCCTGGACAATCTCAACTATTAGGTTACAAATGCGCCCTAACACTACCCCAAAACAACTTTTAGTTCTCAATTGGCCCTCTATCAATGACCTGTGTTGCCTGAACAGCGAGGCATTTTGAGAAGGAGAAAACCGGCCGGAATGCTTTAGGTTTATCAATAACGAAGATAAACATGGTCTGAGTTATACACCAGTAATCTTTGAGTTGACTCTTTTAAACTCATTGTAAATAGGGTATGACTGTTATTCATTTTGAAATAACTCCTGTAATACTTTGCAATTGCTCAAACTCGAGCAACATGTACACTAGTTTTAATTATATTAATTAAAAGATCAAATCCTGATCTTTGTAATATCTACAATATAGATCAAATCACAATGTATAGGTCTAGTGTATAATTAAAAACATAGGTAGTTTTGATAGTTTACCAAATTTCTATAAAATACATTGATTAATAAAACGAAATAAATTTAACCTTGTACATGTACAAAATTTAAATAAGATAGGTCATAAATACCCACCGTTTCAATGTAGCTGATGGGCTTTTCTTTGCTAGATCAAAAAAATCATCATCCGATAAAGAAATGTCTGCTAATGGATCTTCAGGTGGAAAATCTGAAACAAAATCTTATCTTTAAAAACGTCAAGATATAGATAACACGAACAAAACCAAATGTTGCTACACTATTGTCACACATGCCGTATTGAGGAGAATCCAGATTAAGGTGTTTGAATCACCACATGACTTGGAAAATATATATTTGATCCAAACAAAACACTTCTTTAAATTTTAATTATTGTAACAATAAATACAAGAAAATGTCCCAACATTTGATTTAAAATTGATCATGACATGCATTCAGAGTGGAAAATGTCCCACAGAGAGACCAATATGGTTGCAGTACCTTACTGCTTTTTTTACCCTTTAGGAAAAGGACATACACTTCAGTACACAAACTTAAAGTGAAATCAAGAAGATCATAAATATTTATGATCATCAACCTTTTCAGAAAAGAAACCGCAAGGATTCAATCGTGTTCACTTGGTCATTGGCATTATGAGACATTTGATCATAATTAAATGACAAAATCATGATTAAACTTGTAAACTTTTACTCGTATTATGGTGCCAGAAATGTATTAAATATTTGTACTGATTCTCTAGGATAAGGTTATACACAAAATTTATTTAGTACAGCTTTGTCAAATATTTATAATTTTTCTTTACCATTTAATTGTTTCTTCACTGCTGATTTCGGCCTTTCAGGCATTATCACGTCTGACGTTGGAATAACGTTTTTCTGTAAAATACAAATAAATTAATGGATCTTTATATATTTTTAATAAATTGTGATTACACTTTATTCAATATGTACAACTATATAAAACCACAGACAAGGGAAACAAAGTCTTTTGTTTCCTTAGTCAATGATAAAACGTTACAAAGAGATTTAGTGTTGTAGGGATGATTTCATATCTTCATTATGACTCAAGCCGTGGATTGTAAACTGTAGAGGTTTTAATCAACGCTCAGAGACATTCAATATCCAGGTGCCTGATGAATGACATGCTAGCTATTGATCAGTTTCTTTAAGAAGGTGACTCCCTCTCGGCAGATTACCAGTAGTTGTCGGCTTTACCTCAAGAAGCTCCTCACAGTCAAAAAAAGGTGATCAGCTGTCTCCTCTGACCACACTTCGTGCTTACTGGGGCACCATCAACAAACCCATTCAGGATATGCTACCAAGACCCTACAGTGTTTTGTGATTGATTGGTTATTATTTGCATGTTGTATCACGACTTGACTGCTATACAGTAGCCTACATATTTTTTGACTGCTACCCTCTGTAGTGTATTCCAACTTAGGTTGGGCGTTTGTGGTTTGTTAGTTGTAATGTGTTAGTTAAGTTTTTTTACCTGAGGACGGGATCAGATTCCAGATCCCGAAAAGTTGTGTATTGTTTTATTTTTACCATCAAGATGGAAAATGTCCGCAATAAACCTTTGAACAACATTAACTCACCATCACCAACAATGAACTTCAAACAAAGAAAAGTGTTATCGTTGAAATATATACATATTTCATAAATGGAATATTAAAATACAATTGATTACAACAAGTACATTCTATGAATTTTATTTCAAGCAACAACAATACGATATTTAATGCCAAAATGCCCTTAACACATTACTGAGTGAACCTCTTTATTGTAAAAAAATGGAAAGTAGAAACAAATATTACCTGAGAGTCTTGCTGCTTCGGTTTGAAGCCAAAAAGTGCATCGTCTATGTCATCTACTCCCTGAAACATATGGAATATCACAAGTACAACATAACTTAGTAGAAACATAGGTACCTACACAAGACATAAAAACATTATTTATACAACTGTAATATTGCAGTGTATTCAAGAAAGAGCCTTCAAAAAACATTTACTTTAAGTTAGAAAAAATATGAGGGAGGTAAGATAAGTTAGTCTAATAAAATATAGGTTAGGGGAAATTGAATGACATGATTAAATGACAAAAACTGTAAAATAGCTAGCCTTCACAAACAAAATTATAAAAAGGCATTATCAAGTTAAAAATTAATGTTGGAGACAGATAAGTCATGGGAAGTAGAGAAGGGGAGGTGGAAAGCTTCCAGTTGGAGAGTGAGTCATCAGAGAACAGCGGTCTGGTCTCTCATGGGCTCAGGAGTGTTCGTAAGTCTAATCAGCTGATGATAAGCTCAGAATATCATCCCTGTCTGGACTAAGTAACCACTCAGAAACAAGGCCTTTGATATTAAGGCAGAAGTAACTCTTCAAAATGTATCACTCTTCGTATATAAGTTAGGTACTTTAATGGTCCTTCAAAAAATAAATGTGGCATTAGACCTAAGTAAATTAAAAACATTAGGCTATACCATACCAATCAATATATAATGCCAGTACTGGTAATTAACACAATGTTTAGGTTTTTGTACCTTGACAATATTTTCCAAATCTTCAGGGCCTATTTCAGATACATCAGAATTGTTTTCCATCAAATCCTTGTAGAAGCTTGATGACATTATAAATTGAAATTATAAACACAAACAAAATAAAACTTTAATACTTGAAATACTATCACACTATTAACACACACAGCAATCTAGAAGCAGAAGATAATTAAGATATTTAATACAAATTTAAATACAATAAAAATAGAAAGAAAAACTACTTCCAAACCGAATCAGAGTTAAAAATAATCTTAAATTAATGTTATTAAAGAATACAACTGACAGTGACAGATAGTTTGCACATTATGCAAATGCAATTATGCATGCATGTTGTATGTTTATATTTGTTGTTTTCGTTACTAAGCAACCATTTTTCGAACAGTCGTCAGTCTAAGTAACAGGCTGAGAGAGTAAAAGTTAAGCAAACCAAAGAATTAAATATCATGGCATAGTGTTTATAAAGGTGGCCGTAATATAACAGTTTTAAGTTTATATTTATAACATTACAAAAATACTAAAAGTAGCTATAATCTAACAGAGTCATTTTTTATGTACTGTTGTCCTCAGAGTACACTAATGTCAACCAAATATGCATATTACAAGAGGGTGGAAAGAGTATCCAAATATCTCATATATCTAACATCGGCATCTCATGACCGACACTGTTAGTTATATGGGATGCTGGTCAAATCCAAATGCACTGTCGGTAGGTTGAAATATCGGTCATCTGGGGCTGGCTGGGGCCCTACGGTTTGAACCACGGCCACCTTTAACTCCAGGCCACGGACTGGTAGAATTGGCAACGTTGCAAGTAGTGTTGTCTAGTGCCAGACGTCCCACAAGATAACATGGCAGACAGGTGTGACACCTCATTAATCCCGTAATCATTTAAATTTTAAAATATACATTTATAAAAATATTGAAAATTAAACATGTAGAATTGAAAAACCAAAACAATATTTAAATTGAAAATCTATTTTTGTACATTTAAAGTAACGTCAATATTTTCAAAGCTCAGTAACCAAGCTTTCGTATTCTTAAAAAATACACAATTGCCATAAGCTGGCTCCAAACAAAACAGCAGTTTTAGAACCTACTTCCGACGTTGACGTTGCCACTTCGAAGCCCGAGGCCTGGAGTTAAAGGTGGCCATGGTTTGAACAAAGCTAGCAGGCTTGAGAACTTCGAAGGTCCATGAGTGACAAAGCCTGCCGTTGTCTTAAAAAGAAGAAAAAAGTTAGGCAGAAGCAGACTAAAACTGTGTTTGTCAGCTGTTTAAAGGATTTTTCAACTTGGAAGAGGCATAGTTCTGTTTTCGTCGTCTTCGTCTAACCTACAAGTCAATCAGTGAGTTAATCACTATTGTGAAAATGGCACTTAGAATTTCACTTGGAATAGTTACGAATAGTCTAAAATCAGCAGCTTTAGGAAGGTAAGTTTGTGTTATGTTTTTTCTAAGACTTCGCCATTCAATTGGTGATTAGATAGTATGGTAAACTTTGACTTAGGATACCCTACATAACTTAGCCTAGGTCAAGCTTAAGCTAGCCTACTCAAGATTCCTATGTACCAAGCTTAAGATAGCCTACCTATATACCTTTAAGTTATTTTGATATGTTCTGGGCAGTCAACTGACTTACTCTCATTCAGATATGAAGGTCACTGGTTCGGTCCAAGTAAAATTGACTCAGGACCCAGATGCCATTTGTTTTAGGTTAGGCCTATCAATTAATGGTGCTAATCTATCAAAAGGTCAACGTTAGATTGTAACTAGACCAAGGTGTGGACCCATCCCTCGCCAAAAACGTTCGGGCAAAACTTTTATATGTCTGATAACAATTATGATACCGGTACATTTTATCTAAATATATAAAAGGCAAAGCCCTCACTGACTGACTGACTCACTCACTCACTCATCACTAATTCTCCCACTTCCCATTTACCTAGGAGGCTGAAATTCGGTATACCGATTCTTTGGGCATTAAATAGGAAAACTAAGTAGTTTTTATTCTGATCGGGCTTTCGGGCTCCGCCCCAGTGGCTCTGTAGTTTCCTATGTTGACCTTATGATTTTTCATATTTAAAAGGAATTAATGAATCTTAACAGCTGTTTCAATCAAGCAAGTTGGTTCTGTTCTATGATGTTAAATAGCATTAAAGCTACAAGGATTACCAACAGGGTGCAGCACTATTTTTTTTTTTTTTTAACTTATGACAAGAGCTAATTTGAAACCTAAAGGTGAGTGAGCGTAGTGAACGAACTTCAACCTGGAGGTGAGTTAGCGTAGCGAACGAGCTAACCTGAAGGCAAGTGAGCGCAGCGAACAAGCTCCAACCCAAAGGTGAGTGAGCGTAGCGAACGAACTTCAACCAGGACGTGATTGAGCCATGCGAATACTTATGAAGTTAAACGGGGCAAAGCCTGCAGGTACAGCTAGTATATAATAAGCTAATGTGTCTATTTGTTGCTGAACTTAGTTCGATCAATATGGAAGAATTAAGTTTATTTATCTGGTTGGAGTATTGTAGGCAAAGCAACTTATCATTCTTAACTTAATGGCCTATTCTAACTTAAAATTCCTTTTTGTAGGAATCGAGCAGTTGCAACAACTGCTGTTGCATGTAAGAATCTGAAAGATGCTCCGATCATTGATCCTGAGGAAGTTATCCTACCACCTGAGGCTGTAGAACATGAGAAACAGTTGGAGGGCTACATCACTGTAGACACTCCAGTAAGTACCATAAGTTATTTGCCATCTTATACAGTTTTTTACCAAAAATTAAGCAAGTTAATATTCATTGAATTCCATTTAGGCCTAACTTAAGTTAACGAACTGCAAATTTTAATAAGTTATAAGTATCCTACTGTAAATAAAATAATATCATTAATAATATACTTAAATGACAAACAACAAACATACCAATAATGACAAAAAATGACAGTACTACAAAGATAGTAGCCTAAAGATAGTACAAAGATAGTGCTACTGTTGTGGCTTAGTGTGTATGTCTAGTATGTACATAAGTATAATAGGCTATGTCTAGTAAAAGCCAAAGTATTTTTTTTGACATTAATAGGTTTTTACGTACCATTGTCAAATAGTCCAAAGATAAAGATTGCTCAGTAGCTTAAGAACATGTTTCCTTGCGAAGACAACATTCTAAAAGCTTGCAGCTCGTCAAGAACACGATAAAAACAAATACTACACGTATATAAACATAAAAACAATAGCCTAAGTATACACAAACATTTAGATAGCGCTATAATGTTACAGATTTAGTCTGGCACAGGGCGGGATTGGTTTTTTTTTTTTGTATTTGTCTACACCAGTGGCACTTTTAAGATTAGAGAGAGTGTTAGTCAAACGCTTTTTGGGAAAATGGTCCGAACCCATACGATTTGCGGGTGTGCCGGTAATTGAACCCTTCCCTCCCACACCAAAGTCTGTGACGCTAACCGCTAGCCTAGAAACATACGTCAAAGGTGTTTTATTGTTTGAAAAACAACTTGTGAATCATATGCAGGTGAAAGTCAGAATAAAACAGATACAAACAAGAGGGAGTCTACTCCAATGTTCTCTGTGGAGTATTAAGATATTGAGTATTACTTTATGTTATTTGCAGACAGAGAGATAGCAGATTTAAGTGTTAAACAAAATTAAACGTTTCTAAGTAGGCTATTACTGATATTATTTCTGGTTTTGTAGACAAAGTGTTAACATTGTCACCTTCAAATCTAAAAGTTGCTGTTTCAATTTTAAAGAAAAATTCTGGATACAGTTGCTATTTGTTGTTGGGCTATTAATTAAAGCTATCGTACAAGAGGCTGACAATAAAAACTGTAGCAACAAGACCAGGGTTGTACCGTTCCCTTAAAAAAAAACTTTAAATTGCTATTAGTGTTGATGAATACAAATAATATGTTGTTTGGTAGATAAAATCAAATTCTGGAGGAAAATAGGTATGAAATAAATAAACTATCTTCAGTTCTTTTAGATTCTTTAAATTTCTTCATTGAATGTTTCCTTAAAAGCTGGTTAACACCTGTTAATCACCTCATTTTGTTTTGCCTTTTGGCAGCTAATTTAATGTTAGGTGTTTGTATAGAGATTACTAATATACAACTGACCAATATAGGCCTACCCCTTCATAGTCGTCTCATGACATCTGTTTGTTACAGCTGGATATTTCAAAGATCACTGGAGTGCCTGAGGAGCACATCAAGAACAGGAGGGTCCACATTTACCAAACCCCCAAGAACGCCATGCAGTCAGGCACTGACAACGTAGGCCTTTGGGCGATGGAGTTTGAGACCCGCCAACGCTGGGAAAACCCGCTCATGGGCTGGAGCTCAACGTTAGTACTGAGTGATTTTAATAGATTATAGCATACAGAAAAATAATAAAATATACACCGTCAGCTGTGCTGCGGTTACCAGAGGTTCTGGCGCACACAGCTGGGAGCGCTGTGTAGTTTACGTAGCACGCACCCATAACCACATGGCCCTCCCAGTGGTGTGCGCCAGAACCTATGGTAACCGTAGCACAGCTGACGGTCTATATTTAATTATTTTTCTCTATGATTATAGGCTATGGTGAAAATAAATTAATTTAGCTTAAGTACTAGATCACTGCTTTTGAACTATGATAGTTATCTACTACTCTAGTGTTTTGACTTATCTCAGTTAGTTTTACCTTTGACTAATACAACTAGATTACATACTCATGTTAAAGTTGTCGCCAGATTTTTAATCAAAATTGTCGTAGTTGTTGTGAGTCACCAACAGATTGTGCTGATCTAAATCACACACTTCTGTCCAATACACAGATTTTTTAACAAAGTAAAAGTAATGGAATGACTTACTGTGAGCTATAGCAACTGTTATGACCAATAAATTTGGTCAGCAACCAAAAAAGGTTTAGGCTAAAATAGATTTTTAGACCCTAGCACATTCTGGGACTAGCTCACATTACTATGTTCTTTTTTGATAAAAAATTGGTGGCAGCTGTTACATGTAGATGGGATGTCTACTTCAAGTATCCAATAGTCAATGGTTTAACTAATTACTCCAAATATATCACTTATCTTATTCATGTGTTGTTAGCTATACCAAGCTAAATTTGTACCGAGAAAACGTTGTACCGATCTCGCTTTTTATTATTTTTATTATTATCAATTGAAAAGGTGATGCCACCTATGTCCATATTTTAACCCAAATTTGAGTGAAGGATGAGTGTAATGGAGTGAGATGATCTGTGTAGCTTTGTTACTGACTAATATCAGCTGTTTCATTAGTCATTAGTTTTCATCATTTATTCAAAGCCCTGCAGGAATGATCAGGAAAATCTGTGTCTCATTTTAAACCTTTAAAAAGCTACTGACTTTTCTCTGGATTGATCCGGCAACCGGATTGTTAGGCAAGCAGTATAACCACTCAGTCAAAATAAAATCTGTAAAGTACCAACGTTTTGTGGTGCAATAACGCCTATATAAAATACTAATTTTTAGTGGTTTTAAACACCTCAAAACAATCAATGAATGTAGATCGTAATTCTTAGGAGGATAATAGTATTCACCTTCAAATCTGAAGGTCACTGGCTCGATTCTTAAGTTCAACTCTGTTGTCTAGCTTTTATTATAAAATTTAAATTATATGCTTTTATAAATTAGATTAGTTAATTAAACCATAGATAAAACATACTCCCAACTTACAATTCTACTTGCGATTCTGATTCTGATTCACAATTCTGCAGCTGTATACAGTAGCTGAATTCCACAGCTAGGAAAGTGTCAAATTGATCAGAGTGTAAAATGTTTATTTTTTTCAGTGGAGATCCATTGTCAAACATGTCCCTGCAGTTCCGTAGTCAAGATGACGCCATTTCTTTCTGTGAGAAGAACGGATGGCAGTGGTTTCTAGCCCCGCCGAAGAAAGCCCAACCTAAACCAAAATCATATGCTTTGAACTTCTCTTGGGACCGGAGAACCCGAAAGTCTACAAAATAAACTAAAATTAAATATTACTATCCGTAGTATCATAACAGTAAAACTTCTGAATCAAGCCAGGTGTTTGTAAATATTAGTAATTTACTTTTTCATAAAATGCTTTCATTTACATTTGTCATGTATTATCTTGAAGTTGAATATAGTCTACCTGGAATCAATTTGGACTTGAAAATAGTGTTTCCTAAAAAATATATTATTGTTGTGGCTGAAATGTTTTATTTAATCTTACCTTTTCCTGATATATTGTTAGTTTTTGCAATATATATGAAGATTGGTTGCCTTAATTTAAAGGACAAGAAATTGCAAAGAGTACAAGCTGAAAGATTTACTTAAAACATGCAAGCTAAATAAAGACATAAGGTTGGTAAAGGCAGAAATGATATTTTTCCAAATTTTTAACTGAACAGCTTTGACATTCATTCAAAGATGATTGGAAATCTTCATACCTGCCAGGCATTCAAATTTTCTGCCAACTATGTAAGTAGATTTCCATCTTATAATAATTTGGTTTTTAAGTAAGAGGGACTGAGGACTATGATGTTTAATTTTTATACCGCCATCAGTATATACGAGAATTGTTTTCTTTAAGTGATTTTTTTTATAATTAAATAGTATGGTAGAGTAGATTGTTGTTTCAACAAATTGGAAAGGGTTCTTAAACAGACTGTTAGAAAAAACCAAATTTAAAAAAATTTAAATTAAAAAAAAATATTATTTTCTAATTCCGTCATATTAATTTTTTGAACACACAAATGTGGTTACCATTTGTCAGATGGAACTTATTTGTTCAGACTGAACACTGACAAGTGTATTGCGTTTATATCGCTAGAAACAACCAGTCTGTGAGTTTTAGTTTCATGAGTGCGGTATAAATTTTTCATTACTTTTCTTATTTGTGTTTTTTTTTATTTAAAAAAATACTCCTACCACTACGAAAATTATTAATTTGTTGGGGAACATTTAAATCATCAAATAAGAGCATTAGGTACTCAATTGAATTATGATTACACCATTTTACTTAACAGTTTTCAAGAAAACCAATACAGTTCTTTTGGTGGGTAACATTTTAGTATTTTGACTCTCAAACCTAAATGCACCTCACTCGCTGCCAGTTACATAAATGCTTCCATAAACGAAAAATGAATACGGATGGAGATAACAGTGAAATGATTGATATGGGTAAGAGTATACATTTTTTTAAATCAATCATTAAAATATTCTGAAATGCCATCTGACATTCTCAATAAGTTGAACTTAGCTCCAACACAAATAATTTGGCTTTGTAGGAAATTTGTGAGGATAAGAGTTGTTCCAAATCTCTGAAGCCAAAGAAGGTTTTGAAATTTTTTTTCTTGGTATAAGAAATTGTTATAGCTTGCAAGAAATTAGTGACTGTATAGAACACGGTATAGTGAAGCGACCTTCTCTTGAATCTTGAAATATCGCTGCCAGCCCAAAAATAAACCTCTTTCTACTACAAACCCTCTCCTGGCCTTTTTATATGTGAGCCACTTTCAAGAACTAGAAAAGTTAGTAGTTTTTTATGGTTCGAAACAGGACCCAGCTGTCCCTGATCGCTGATCGTTGGGCTTTAAATAAATTATCCTGACTGATGAAACAACTTATCTTAGTCATTTACATAGCTACACAGATCATCTCGCAACATTCTATAGATTTGTATATAGTGTGTATATAGATTCTATAGAACTGTATACACTAGCTCATCTTTCAATCATATTTTGGTTCAAATATACACCTAGGTGGCGTCCCCTTCTCAAAAGGATAACGAAAAACAATAACACAGTAGATCTAGCAAAATGTATTATAAATCTTGGTACTGTAGCAGCTATCTAACTTTTCTGTAGTCTTTCAGGTCAGATTATTGTGTTTCAAACTGATTATGGCCGAACTTAAATGCATATTGCACACGATGTAGAGCAAGAGAGGCACTGCAAGTGTTTTTCATATGATTAAAATTGTATATTAATTATGCCACATGAAGGGTTGGAAGGTCAGATTCACATAATTTAAGGAAAGGAAGGTCCCAGGTCCCTAATCTTCAGCTAAAAGTATTTCCACCATAGAGTTATTATAAAGTAGGTAGGTAGTAAGTCTATTATGGAAATATCGTTGCTATACACCTTGAAGTGAAAAAATTGATTTATTAAGGCTTTATATGTTAAGTATTGATAAACAAATAAAGTGATTTAAAAAAGTAAAATTTACCCCCGCAGCGAACCTGCAAACCAAGCGAATTTCAGTCTATAGCTGGAATTCCACTAAACTATTCCCTTAAAATTGTCAGATTTATTTTCTATTTACTCAGGTAGAGTTAGGTTTGCTGCTACAAGGAAGAAGAGGGGGGGGGGGGGGTTATTGAAATATAGATAGCTTAGTATGAAGTAACATTTCAAAATTTCATTAAAATATTATGTTCTTAGACAAGCAGGCTACAAGAGTTTTAATTCTCCATATAAGAATAACGTGGTAATTTTAAATTTCCCTTTTTTGGGATTTTTTCCGAAACCGTTAGACATACAACATAATGCTTCAATATACAAATTATTTGTTGTTTTTTTAGCTCTACAAAATGGTTCGGAAATAAAATGCACAATTTTATGTTTACAGTGTGAAAAATGGAAAACCCCATTACACCCATACCCCTCATAAACAACTGTTCTCATAGTCCGATCATGCTGGTTCGCGAACTCGTTAGAATGAAAATGTAGGTTTACACGTTTATACAAAATTTCATCAAAATCAGATAATTTTTGCTCGAGTTATCGTGCTAACACACACATATATAAATCTCTTGTGTTTGTGTATACATTGTATATATGAATTTGAACTGATGGTGTTTTTGGCCTCAAGGGACCTCAAAACGAAAAAAGTTAATCGGTCCCGGGTCCAGCCAGGTCTTACCCTTTGAGACCTAATAGCTTATTCCCTAAATGGGAAAAAAGGGTCAAAAAGGCAATTACAGTATTTAGAAATTAATGTAACATATTGGGGTTCTACACATCAACAAACCTAAACATAAATCATTATTATACATACATCAATATATGCGTTTTATGCTATATAATTATTCCACCATCTAATATACCTCAAGTCAATCAAACTAAAAAATTAAATGACTATGCTATTATATGTGGTTTTCTTAAAGTATGACATTCAGAAAAGGTAATGAAATGTTGGTGGCTTTGGGTTGTATTGATTTTAAAACAGAAACAACATTATTATGCCAGCTGTGGCCCTCAATAACGTCAGCTCGGTCAGCTGTGTGGCGTCTGTTCAGTTTTCATTAGATATTAGATTATAGTGTAGACGTCAATATTTGTTACTATCACCTACGTCCAACGAATTATAACAATATTGAAATAACTGAATATTTATGGCAAATACTGTACAAAATATAATGTAGTTGTAGAATTGCAAGAATAAATTATTTCTGATTCGGTTAATACACAACAGATTTAAGAATGATATCTTTGTTGCTCTCATAGTCCGTTGGCAGATCACCATTTTTAGGTATTTATTTATAAATATTAATGTTTAATGTAGTTTTACTTTTATGATTTTAGTTGGTACTTAACCGTGATGATTGAGTTACAGAGATAAATAAATAGATAACTCATGGTCGAAATCAATTTGAACGTATTAAAAACATTTTAGGTAATTTTATTTTATAGCGTATGTTTTGCAACTAAGAATTTTATGACCCATGTTTGCTTTGTCTAGATGAAGAATTAACATAGGAATGCTTGTTGTATTAAAACTATTTACCATTAAAGCTTTTGTTGTTTGACATTCTAAGCTAAGCTATCCGTTTCCAAACAAAACATAAAAATAAAATGTTTAGTATATTTTGTATTATTGATTTTAATTGACAATGTAAAATTGAATTGTACATCACAAATCAGGCCAAAGTAAGCTATGATATTAATTTGAAAAGAAGGCTTGATTAATTCCAATGAAATGTCCTCTGAATTCTTTCTTCTAGGTCTAGAAAGGTTATGTTAACTTAGTGAGTTTGTCTGATTGGGCTTAAGCATAGCTTTCAGACCTAGCTCTAGTGATTTTGTCTGATTAGGTTTAAGCGTAGCTTTCAGATCTAGCTTTAACTATTAAGACTAATATAGGTAAATACAGCAAGTCTGTAACAGATCTGTAAACCCATCTAACTTAGGTAAGTTAGGCCTAGGCTTTCAGCGCAATGAGGACACATAGGCTACAATAACTTAAGTTAGCAAATTTGCGAAAAATGAATTTGCCTTTGAGTATCACCTTTTAGCGAATTTCCCTATAGGGAAGTAGCTATTACCGTAGGTGGCATGGTAAGACCTAGACCCGGGACCGATTTACTTTTTCATTTTGATGTCCCCAGAGGCCAAAAACACCATTCGTTCAAATTTTTATATATGTATATATATATAGACATATATATATATATATATACGTCCGTGAACGCGATAACTTGAGTAATTTTTGTCCGATTTTGATGAAATTTGGTTTAAAGGTGTAAAGTGGGATAAACTTGAATGAGTTCGCGAACCAGCACGATCGGACCATGGGAACGGGGCTTTACAGTTTTTTGGGGTCAAAATTGGTTTTTCTCACTTTTGACCCTCAAAACACAAAATTTCCCGATTTCTCTTTAGACCTTTTTAAAGAGCTTAAAAAAACAAATAATTTAGTATATAAAAGTATTTTTGTTCGATTATTAGTAACGGAGAAAATTTAAAAAATTGTAAATTTAAAATTCCTATGTTATTCTTAAGGAGAATATTGTCAAATGTTGTAGTTTGCTTGTTTATGGATATATTTTGATCAAACTTGGCAAATTTATTTATTTTGTACTAAGCTATCAATATTTTACTCAAAAACACACTTTATTAGTTTCCTTGTAGCAGCAAACCTAGGTACTCGTTAAACCTAATGTTATTAAAATATATTTAACTGAAAATCAATTCAGACAAATGGAAATTCGCTTAGTCGGCAGGTTTGCTGCAGCGGGGGTATTTGTAACTATACTTGTTATGGGCCTAATCAAAATTCTGCCTCTAGTGTCTAAACGGTACTTACGTATTATACGGAGGCCACTTATTTTACAGCACGCTGCGGCGGTTAGGTTAGGTTGGGTTATCATAAGTTTTTATGACTCATCTCGTATAGTTCGATTCATAACGAAACTAGGAAAGTTCTACAAACATATTTATGATAACCCAACTTAACCCAACCGCCGCAGCGCGCTGTAAAATAAGTGGTTTCTGTATAATACGTAAGTACCGTCTAAACTATATGCCTAGGTGTTAAAGTAAATCTAACTATTCAATATGCATAGGCACAACTTTTGGCCTCAATATATAAAGGCCGCAGCTGGTAATTTCACACTTGACGTCCTAATTGTCATGGTAATGACAATCAGTGTACTTATCTAGAAGACCAAAACAAAAATCCCACTTAGGCCTATTCCTATTGGGTTGTAAAAATTCCATTTCATTCCGCTTTTATAAATTAATAATCATGTTTTATCCCACATATATTTCTCCGTTAGCCTATATCCAGAGTAAACTTTTATAGTGTAATATGTTTAAATATTTCTTTAAACCAATATTGCAATATAACTTAAGTTAGGCCTATTATGCTAAAATAATTTAATCAATTGAGGTTGGTTTTATCTGAAAATCAGTTTGATAAAGAAAAAAAAAACCCCAGAGCTAAAAATCCTCTTTTATCTCGCATCCCCTTTACACATGGTATAAAATCCTGTGCATAGAAATATGGCTGCACTTAAGTTTACGTCCTACACTCATTCGAATAAATATATCGGTTGATATATCGATTATTTAATTCGATATATCAAGTTTGGTTAGGTTAAGTTTAACCGAATGAAATAGTCTAATCGATATATTGAATGATCTACCTATATATTGAATAATCTATATCGATATTTTTCATTCGAATGAGTGTAGGACGTAAACTAAAGTGCAGCCAGAAATACTGATAACAATAATGACAAACGTGTTAACATTAGCATTGCACATACGCTTCATATGATCTGGTGCTACAGCTGTTTCTGTCGGCCGGGACTGCTGAGTTGCCACTTTTATCTCGCTCGCCGCCGCCTTAATTTATACTTATAAGATTAGGCCATGGATTAGCTAAAATAATTTTGTTCACACCTGTAATATTGCCTTGTCATTATTAATCTGCATGAATGTTATGGTACGAATGATGATGCTGAAAAACAATCCATAGCCCTTGACTCCTTTATGACAAAATAAGCGTTCTTATCCATCTATGATGTTGAAAAAAAAATTGTGCTGGCAAGTATTGTTGCAAGTGCAACTTTGTCAAAGCTTGTTACAAATCAAATCAACATAGTCTATGGTAATTGTAACTATTTATTTTGATATTTTGGCTTGTTGCAAGCTTTGACAATGTTGGACTTTCAATAAAACTGGCCAGCACCTTTTTTTACAAAATGTCAATGACAAAAGTCTAGACTACAAACAAAGGTAAAGAAGCCTTTGATCACTTATTTTCCTCCATTGTCTATCACCCCATCAATTTTTAAGCCAACTCAGTGTAGGCCTAAAGCTGTATAATTAATTATTTATGATCATCACAATTTTAGATATCTTACTTAAACCATATTAAAAAATATATCTTGTGGTTAAATTTGACTGATTTTCATGTTGTGGTTATATGCAATACTGTATGTTCAATTTCTTTTTATGGGTCTGAAAAATTTTTTAGTAACTAAAGCTAGTATTTTGAACCATTAGGTACCTTAATTTATTTTCATTGATAAGCTATACAATTATCCAGCAAAGGGGGTTTACTCAGAGTAAATGACGAAACCTATCATGAAACTATACTGTTGGCCAAAGATAAATAACTATCTGGATGTCAAAACAATCATAAGCTTTATACATTCATTTGAAAACATTGCAGGTCCTAAAATAATTTCGGTCCTGTAACTTATTACGTCCACAACCTAAAATCTTTGGGGTTTGTTGTCAATTTATTATAAATTTCGACATTTCAATGAGTGATGTTCTAGAATGTCCTTTTCAGCTCAATGTCATGTTTTACAAAACGTAGTTGGTTAAAAACCTTGGAAGTTATGAAATAAGCATCCTATTAATTAATCAACTGAATGCTAGTAACTAGTAACGCTAGTAGTAGGGTTGTGAATAGCTTCAAAATTAAACACCCACAGTAGGGTATTTAAATTATTTGATTTCTTTCTACTAACGTAATGAATCTCCTAAGATTAGCACATAAAATTGCTTTTGAATTAGGATTTTTAGCTTCACTATTGAAATCAGCCAGGTTTTAATAGAAAGAACCAGAAAGAGCAAAGTTAATTGGGCATAATTGGCTCCATTCAAGATGTCAGTTCTTTTATAATGGCAGTTATGTTGAAAATTTGACCTCAATTAACATAGCCTAGATTGAATTAATTATTATTTATGAGGCCTGTCCGAGATGACTACTGACTATTTTTCATTATGTTGTTTACATAAACATAGGCCTACTGATATTTAATTTCAACATGTCTGTATTTTTTGTAAAATAACATAAATCTCAATTCCCTAAGTTGAAGTGAATAGAAAAGCAACAATCAACCAAAAGTCATTAAATTGTGTTTGGATTTTAGGATTTTATTTTTATAGCCCAAGTAGAACAATTTAATTTCAAATGTATTTCAGTTAAACTGATAGGTTTTAATAGTTAAAGATAGAGGCCTCGTTATTTGTTGAAAATTTTGTTCATTCCACAATTCATCCCTTAAAAATTTTCTCAGAGTGTTCTCAAAGAATTGCTTTACTAAAAATCGATCATTTTGTTTGTATTAACAGTTTCAGTCTAGTTTGAAATACCATGGTTGATAAAAAGTTCAAATAACTGTTATTTGTTAATCCAGAATTTATGATCTACAATGGGAGCAAGGTTAATTTTTGGATTGAATGTTTTCTTATATTCTTCAATTCATAAAACTTGGAAGTAAATAGTATTTTCTGACAGAGTGAATTGGTAAATCGCTCTATCCTCTTGTATTTTTATCAGATATTGCGTATTGTTAACCATAAATACTGCAATATGAGGTTGGTGGTGTAACCAACCTGCAATGGAGGTTGTAGGTTTAAGATCAAGATTGTTTCTCTCTATCTCAAACACCAGTTGAAAATTACTATGACAGTGAAATATCCTTGTTGTGTACGGTACTAGAAAAATATTGACTTTGTTACTAACTGTTTAGCTAAAGATTTATAACTCATGTAAAGTTTTTGTGTTTCTTGCATCAGTATGATTTTTTCAATTCAGGTAAGCCTGCTTTTCCATCTTATATTATTGCATATTTTGTGTTTCTATGCCATTGACATTTTGTTATTGATACTTATGCCTGAACCGGTTCCAGGGTGGCATGAGAGGTTGGGAGGGATGCCTAGTAAACCAGTGATGGTAAACACAACTGGTTACTTACCTCTCAACTATCGCCAGTCCAAGGGCTTCGTTGTCCGAATCCCGTTTGAGAAGCTCGCTTGGAGCACCTGTCTGCTGCCCCTCAGCAGTTTTGTTTTTTGCGTCATCTGGTCCTTACTCTACAACTTCGATGACTCCACCTTCACCCATTGCAAGGTATACGATTTTGTAACTGTGTTTTTGTAATTCTTGTTGAATAGAAAGTGATTTTTGTCATTGTGAGAATTGTCATTCGCCGGGTCTGATTATGATTGGAGTGTCCAATCGAAATCAATCACCACTTACCATCTTTAAAGTAGGCTATATTTACCGTCGTGTGAGTAACAGTATAAGCGTAAATATATGTTTTAAGTTTTATAACATGTTTCTTTTATTTACTTTCCGTAAAGTGATTTTGACAGCCACTTTAGTTACATTTCAACATAATAGACATGATAGTTACTTCTTTTAGAATGAGTTGTGTAATAGAAGCCGAAAGAGTTTGATGCATTGTTGTTGGTTTATAAATTTGAAAAAAGACCACTTAAGCAGACTTACACTATTTAACATGTGTAAATTTTCAATACAAATCAAAGTAACAAAAGTGTAATGTAGGCTTACTGGGTTACATTAAATACATTTAGTTAGGCCTACCTAATTTTGAATCCGTCAGAGACTAATTATTTTAACAATGAATAGGGTTTCATAGGACTATAGAGTACTAGAGTACTGATGTTAGTTTCATTTGTAGGTGCCAAACTTCCTTCCGTCAATATCGGCGGCAATCGGCAACTACAGAACGCAGAGGTTTGTGTGGGGCACAGCTATCGCGGTCCACGCAGGACCCAGATTTCTGTTCACTTCCATGTACCGTCAATACTACAAGGACATACTCAGTAACGGGGCACAAACATTGGCTTCCGTCGCGTGCTTCCTTAACGTCGTGGAGAACGTTGCTCTCATCGGCTTAACGTTCATCCCGTCCGCATACAACTATGGTGAGTGCAAGGAAATTAACTTTATATTTACGTCCGTTAACGTTATTTACGTAAAAAAATTATACTAATCTTGGTATATCAATTATGAATTTTGAAGGCTATTAACTATGGCAGTCACTGACAATATCCACATTGGCTTTGCCTTAACAAAGTTTAACGTGTCCCCTTTCTATAAACCCATTAGCAGGTACTTACTCGGTCTACAAAACGGACTAGGCCTACTTTGGCTTGTGACTATGCCTGGGATGAGATTACCCAGCAAAGAACACATTGTAGAGGAAGGCTTCTTCACTTCCAAGACTTTTTTGAAAACTGGAAGAACACGCTCTCTTGTTTAGGAATTACAAAATACAATGGAGAGACCCTGAAAACATATCCTTTAAGAGTAGTTTTTAAACAATTGAGTAGGTAAAATGTACTATAGCCTAGCTAGTAGCTACTAAGAAATTTTACAGTAATTATTCTTGAAATCTCATGTATCAGGGCAAATCTAGTTAAAAGCATGTACAGTAGAATTCCAACCATCCAAACTCCAGCTATCCAAATCGCTTACAGAAAGAATGAAAAAACCACAGTAATAAGAATTGTTGTTTAGTTAGGCAAAAGCCAGGAGCGAGGCAAAATCTAAAAACTCTTGCGCTGTTGTGTGGACATCAAAATCATGCAGAAAAAATCTTGCACATCTGCCTCGGTCTTGTAGACATCATCATTCTTCTAAAAATCATAACCGTCCTCCGCAATCGCGGTGAAAGCATGAATTTTTTTTCACAAAATCTTTGCAGACACGTTCTGCGATCGCAATAGTAAAACTCAGTTAGCCTCTTTCTGTAAAATACTTGATTATCCAAAAATGTATTACGGTCCCAATTTATTCGGAAAGTTGGCGTTCTACTTTACTTTATCTCATTCAATTTGAATACATAAAATAGTTTTTCAGGCAATTATCACAGCTGTATTTAATCTGCACTAAGTAGGCCTATTGACACTCTGCCTAAATGGAGTCAGGGTAAATGTATGTAAGTGCATTGACAAAAGCTGTTCAATAACTTTTGGGAAAAGCGTTTGAGTATCCGGCGTGGCAAAAATTTGTATTTCTGTTTTCTTGTCTTTTTAGAACATTACACCCACTGTCCTAAATCTATACATGGAAAATTAGAATGGATTTGTCATTTTCTTAAATTAGGCCTACATCAAGTAACCGTTACCGGTACTCAATTATTTGGGGGTAGGCTATCATCTGGATGGATTGAAGTTGAAGACCTTATCTCTGAGAGTGTTACATAATGTACAGTCTTACTTTCATGCTGTGACTGTACCCAATATTTTAAAATTGAAAATAGTGCCCATATCCCCCACCTGATATGTTTAACCAGTCCAATGTTTTGTTTGCAGCTATTCACGAGAAGTGTTTCATGACGTTCATGCTGACGTCGGAGCTGTACATGGTGCTAACTTGTGTTCTACTGACGAGGTACAGAGCACAGCCTCCCAGCAATGTAGAGAGCAAGTCGCTGAGGCTCAAGTACCAGCTGTTAGCCATCAATATGGTGTCCTTCGCCCTGGCTGGATATTTCTTCATCAGACACAACTTGTATTGTGAGCCTGGGGGTAAGTTTGTAATTCCAAAGTTAAATTGACAAATACTTCAAAACAGGAAATGTTTGTTGATTGTACAATACCGTAGTCTTAGTTTATTTATTGAAATCAATCATTTAGTTTTCTGTTTAGTTCTTTATGAATTTAAAAAATGTTTTGTCACAGTAATATTTTATTTTTATAGACTTGTTTTTTCTGACCTAATATACACACACCTAATTTACAATTACGAAATGAAAACGTCTTTACTTGATTTTTCTATTTAACCTTCTTAGAAAACTTTCAAGGAAGTATAAAAATAAAATTATCAAGATTAACTTTTTATCAAGATTTAATAAAAAACCTTTTAGTAAATAAAATAGTAAACATTTTTTAATCAGAATTCATTTCCTACTACTCGAACGTCAGTTATTAATAAATAATAATAATACAGTATTACCTTCTACCGTACCAAATAAATGTAGTCTACGATGTGTAAAAGGTAATGTTATTATTATTTATCTTTTAATCCCTTTCTATCCTGTCATGAATAAGCTTGATATTTATTTTGATTTCTACGATGCAGACTTGATAACTGTGTTTCCCCTACAGTGTACTCGTTGTTTGCGCTGTGTGAATACGTAGTGGTCCTGACCAACATGGCGTTTCACATGACTGCGTCGTGGGACTTCCACGGCCGCCAGATAACCATCGACCAGTACGGACTCGACATTAGCTGACGGGTCCCCTTGCTGGGCTCGTCCGACGGATAACAGACAGCCTCCTCCGGGTATGTAACTGTTCTTGTATAATCATCATCATCATCATTACTTTCAGTCTGATGTATGTATGACACTTGGGCTTTTTGCGCCCCATTGAAAAACCTTTAGAAACTTAGAACCTGATTAGGGATGTTGCAATACTAACGATACCATTTCTCTTTCAATACCCATAGTAGCAATCTGGGTATTTGAAAGAGTATATGGATACTTTACTACATGCAGTGTCTTATCTAACAATCGCTTTTCTTTAAAATTTTATTTATATTGAAAAAAAATTCAAAATTGATTTCTTTTGAAGCTTGTTTATTACAAAAGAAGCCTATTTTATTCAAAAACATTTTAAATTACCTTTTTAAGTGGAGTTTGCAGCAGCAGTAGGCCTAGTAATCAAAGTAATTACAGTAGACTATTGGTAATGCACAAGTGGATTAACCATGCTGCAAATTAGTCACGATTGGAAAAAGTACATAGGGCCTAGTGTAATTTAAAATGTAGTAGGCCTACTTTATACAGCGACAACCAACATGTTTAGCTTCCCATAATCATGTAGGTAGCCTATAAAGTTACCGTTTTTTGCTTCACCGTTCAACGATGAGTCACTGATTACAACCGATGAGTTGATAAGTTACATTTTGTTTGTTTTTATATTTTCGTTATTGTTAGGCTTATGTATTTTATCCCTCAGTCTAGTCCACCCCTACACTCAAAAATGTTAATATTTTATTATGTATTTCTATAATATTAGTAAATCACCAAATTTGAATCTGAAAAAAATGTTGCATACTTATATTTTTACATATAGGCCTAAGTATCCTTAAAAATTGACTGGTAGTTCCACAAAAATTCCCCCAAAACCCTAGAGTTTTGTAAGGTGTTGAATTCACCATTTAACCATATGCTATATAGTTATACAATATGCATACAATAGGCCTACTCAGTTATAGAATACATTTATACAAAACATGAAACCATTACCAACTAACTGGTTTGAAAATATTGAAGGTCTGAAACTTCGTCCAATCCGGATAATTCACCGGAGGGCGTCGACCCGGAGTTTGTGCGGCTGCCAGAACATCGGCCGCGGGTGTTAGCCAACTACCCACCCTACCCGACGGCACCCAACATCTACGTAACATTCCTGGACCCTCTCAACTACCCGGACCCGCTGCCCGAGTGGTATCTGTCCATAGACCACCCCCAGCCGTGGGCCTACTACAATGTTCTCAACGGACAAAAACACTTTGTCATTTCAGTACTTAACTCTTGATATTCTCCCCTTTGCAGGGAGTATGGTGTAATGCTTTGAATGTAGGCTTGTTTTCCGTTCGGACTTAAGACTGTGCTGCTCCGTCTTGACCTACTGGCTGTTATTTTTGTTCGGTAGTTTCGTGTAGTGGAAATGTTTTTTACGATTTTTCATAAGTAGTCGTATGAAAGTATTACTTGTAGTTTTAGTTGAGGAGTGGGTTATGGTGATTACTTAATTGTCGTATTTTGGTTTTGTTTGGTAAAATACGTATTGAAGTATGGTAATCATTTAAACATTTTCCTCCGGATCACGTTTGAGCAGAATTAAAATTAAAATTTCTTGATGAGTGATTCTCCAAAAATGGTAAAGTGATTTAAGTTTATAAAACGTAGGTTCATTTTCAAGTAGATTACCTAGTTATTTAAAAAATCCTCTTTACCCTGGAGTTATGAAGAGTATCATTTCAATAACTCTTGGTATTCTCATCGAGAAAGAATCTTAACCTCTTACCTAAACCAGGACCAGGATCATTTTGACACTATTGTACTACATGTATTCAACATTTTACTTAATAATCAGTTATTATTTGAAACTTTAAAATCGGTGTTGATAACTGCCAAATGATTATAAGTTGCATTTCAGAAATAAATAATGTTAGTGAAGCAAAAAAGGATTTATTCATATTCATATAATCGTTAACAAAAGTAACTATTGAATATGAATCTTCTCATAGTTTGGAATCTCTTGACTATTTTGTGCAAATACTCGTAGTTAGATATTTTTTATACATTTAAATCTCAGGTATTTTTGTAGTAGTTTTTTTCATGTATGGGTCCACGATTTCCTTTTGTTTTTGACAATTTCACAAACTGCATTCACTATTAGGAAAACATTAAACAATGTAAGGCGATGAAACATTATAAATATGTAGTTCATAATTTATTGGTCTTCTTGATATACGTAAGTCAATGATCTGATCACTATGTTATTCTTGCAGCTTCCAAGTTTGAATTGTGTTGGTAATACCAAATGTTTGTAATAGTTTTATTTAAATACAAAGATTTTGCTTGCACCTTAAGGACAATATTCACAGCTGTATGTTAAAAGTTTATCTTAGCTGTTATTAACAGTAGATATCACTTATTTATCGTAATACTCATAGACAAAAATACGCTGTTGAAGGGTTTGCAAGAGTTAGCCTACTATTTCAGTTTTCATGGAAATAATATAGTTATAACTGCGGTAGTTGTAATATTTAAATTGTTTACAGTGACTTTTCATTTAATGACTTATTAAATAAATGCAATAAATGCAAGCAGGTCCTTTATTGCTTTTTAAATGCTCACTTTCTGTAAAGTTATTGTCTTCCATAATTTTAACTGTTCGACTAGTTTCTGTTTTGTACAGTACAGTATCTTTTCAACTAAGAACTAATCATTGTTGTGGAGATTATTAACTAGAGATTGTTCCAATTGGAAAGGTTGTGTGTTCCTCTGTGTTTAAGATAAGCGTGTTGAACTATTTGTCGTGATTAACTTAAACATTAATCAATATTTTTCCATTTATGAAAGTAAAACTAATATTAACTTAACTTTTTTGTGAGATGCAATTTGCTGAAATATTAATTATTGAGTATTTGTTTCAGAGGAAAGATAAAAAACTGTTAGTTTGGTGTTTTGTTTTATCCATTATAGATTTTTTTCTTATCCATCAAAATCGGTAGGAAGCTCTTCTCAAAACTTGATTGCAAGAAAATAGATAAACTAATAATAATGGTACTATTTTACCTCCGTCATGTAATGCAATTTGTTTGTCGAGATCAGTAGACAAACATGTTTTGCCGCTGATATGGCTTCGTCAGGGTAGCAAAAACTAATCTGTCATAACTGTCACACACGCAAAAATAACGAAATACGTAACAAACATTTAGATATAATACTGATAGGCCTATCACACAACGTGAACGTAGACTTCTTGGTAGAATTTGTTTTGTTTTGTCTATTACATGCGCTGGAACAAACATTATTTGCGAAGTGTGATAGGTCTATCAGTATTAAATCTAAATGTTTGTTTTTGTATTTATTTATTCATTTGTGTGCATGTGACAATTATGTCAGATAAGTGTTTGCTTTCTTGCCGTTGCCGTGTTTTCTTGCCGTTGCCGTGTTGGCAGTGAAACATAGAGATCCACTAGGTAAAATAGTATTTTTTTATCCTAGGACGCTAGGCACGAACCTGGAATGTTTTTTCACATTACTTCAGGCTAAACCTAGGGGTTGCAGCATTATTACTTGTATAAAATCCATTGGTGATTTGGCAGGATTTGAATCCGGGACCTCAGGAATTAAAGTCCCGCGCTGTAACCACTAGATTAGTTCGCTCCCCCCTACTATTACTTAGTACCATTAATAGTCATTAGAGTAATCCCGGCCCCCAACATGGAATTCATAATACAAATTTTATATATGACTTTAAAATCTTTTTATGATCATTGTAAATTGAACAATGGTTGAATTAAAGGATATAAACAAAACCATTTCTTTAAAATTCTGCTTAAAGCAATATTTGAAATTGTGCTACTTTTTTTATTCGAACCTGCCAAACATTGGCATGCTCATTAAATGCAACTCGAGGCTAGAAATGTAACCAAATCAAATACTCAATTAAACTACTCATTTGTATGTATTTAAAAATCTAAACCCAAATAATTCAATATCTTTTATTATGGAAGGGAAATTCCTAAGAAGATCTGTGCCACCCATATCAGTACATTTTAAATACGTTGTTTAAGTTTGCAAAATGTATCGATAAAAACCGTTTATGCTAGACAATTTATTTTGTAAGTTCCAAAATCATACCATATTTGGGTATATTGTTGGCAACCTCTGGTTAATCATTAAAACCTTAGCTTTTTGTTTTTATTAATAACATATCTGTTAAAATATAAAATAATTTTACTATTGTTGATAGTTGTTAATGATTAATTCTGTTTTCAGTAAATTCTATAATTACTGTTAGTTAAATCTCTTGTGCTATATTGCACTATTGTTTGGCCTATTGTCAAAAAAGTGTTTCAGGCAAGAACTTTTTCTGTATTTAAGTTTTTTAACCCTGAAAATCATTTGGCCATTTTTATCCCCCTTCATTACTTATGTATCAGGAAAAAATCGTGTCTGTTTTGAATTGTACATTGTTTGTAATTTTGATTGAAACCCCTAAGGTGTGATGTTGGTGGTGCTATTTGATTACAAGGAGATTGTTTAACAACCTCAGTTTGACGATTTCTGTGTTTAAATATTATTTTAGATCATAATTAGTTATTTTTCTTATGAGATTTAATATGATAAAATATATAACTATTGAAACTAAAGTGGATAGTAAACTATCAAGCAAATGTTATTAGTTAAATATAGTTAGATTTTATTTTGATTTTTAACTTTTGTATTGTAACTATCGAGATTCATTTGGTGATTACAATCAGTATTAAAATCACAAAATATGTTAATTTTAAATTATTTGTTAGAAGTTTATTTCTTATTTTAATCCAATTTATTTTAACAAAGTCTTTATTAAAGATCTGCATTCATGTTTTGTTCAAGTATTCTTGATTTTACTGATTCCAAGAATCTAGACAGACTATGTAATGCTTGTGATATTATGTACTTTATAATTTGTAAATAAAGATACTGTTTATTATATAGAAATCTGGACTGTTTACAGGTTTTATAGGTTCTCTTTGTGATGGATTTCACAAAAAAAGATTTAAAATTTAAACTGTAAATATTTTATGGCATTGTATAACTTATTTAACATTTTGTAACTATTAACAGATTACACTGCTGCACTTTTGATCGCTTTTAAAAACTTTAAATCCTGATTATTATTTTCTTATTCAAAACCTGTGTATTGATGTGTTTTTGGTAATATTGGTGCAATATGTAAAGATAGCGTATACTTTTATAAGTCCTAAAATTCATTACTCATTCAGAATATGTTATTTGAAAGTACATTAAATTTATTATTATTTTACTGACTTAAACTTATTATTATTGAATATAATATTTCCCCAAACTATTAAAGTTATTATTTTGGGTTTTAGTTAAATTTTAAAGGAAATCCAAGTAAGGATTTTTAAAGGAGTAGAGTTAATCTGAATTACCTGGGAAAATTCCTCGACTAATAGATACAAAATAAAAGTCACAATCATTTATCTTTATTGTTTGCATTTTGATTCAAATGATCGTAGATGTTTCAAAATTTGTGCTTTGAGTGAGAAAATCAATATTTTCAGACGTTTACCTAGGCGTCTTAAGCTTACATATTAATATTACTCTTTTCCTTTTGTACTGAAAATTAAATTACTCTTAATATTTTTTGCTTCCATTTACCAGGATAATGTAGTTTATTTATAAATGACTCATTTAACATCAATAGTTTTATTTGGGTTAATTAATATCATCTTACCAAATCAACTTTTACCAATCCATTGGCCTATTTGCTGTACCGTACAACTGGACCACTCATAAATTCTATATTCACGCCATTTTTAACTCTGTAGTAAAACTGCTCTACTTCCAATCTACATGTTTTTGATTGGATTGCAAATGTGATGTAGGATTGTTTATATAATTATTTACAGTGACCTCTACAATATTAGACCTAGAATTCCCTAGTACAGAGGTCAGTAATGGAATCATAACAAATTAGGGCTAGCGAGATCATACAAATCTGTAAAACTATATCGGTTTTATTTACAAAATCAGCATTGTTGTGTTTATGAAGTTAAGTGTAACTCTGTTGTATGTGCTATAATTGTCTCCATTTTCACGAATTGGAGTTCACTGCTATCAACAAAATTATGAATCTTTTCTTTTACTTATTTATTTTTATCTAACAGGGGCAGGCCGAGACCATAAAGCCATCCAAAAAGTCGAATTATGGCGCACCCCAGACAGTTGTTTTTTTGATAGACCTTACAAAATCAGTCATCCGATGTAAGCCTGTAGTATTCCTATCAATTCCTCCTCGGGAAGATATCTACCTCTTACCAAATTTCCAAGAGTTATCCTTCTAGCATCAGAAAGCTTTTCACAATTAAAAAGCAGGTGACCAGCTGTCTCCTCTGACCTACTGCAGTGCCCACAGATTGGTTCACCATCAAACAAGCCCATCCGTTGTAAATGTTTCCTGAATCACCCATGGCCAGTTATCAGTTCCACTGTTAATTTAATTCTTCGCCTGTCTAGCCTCAAAAAGTCAGAGGCAACCCGTTTAGAAGGCCTAACAGTACGCTTGCTAACCCTAAGAAGGGGAGTATCAGCCCAACGTTTTCTGTGCTTTTATTTGGCCCATGACACAATAGAGGTGTACACGCTTTTTCGTGATATACCACAGAAGGGTTGTGGATCATAAATGTCTATTGAATGCAAACATCTCAAACTGAACTCCTAATTATCTGTGTTTGTGATCATCGTGTAGGATTATAATATTTGAAAAAATAAAGCAAATTATTTCAAAAATATCAATGAATGCTGCTATTTGTAAAAAAAATACCATTAACAAAGAATGACGCATGACTTGGCCAAAGTATTCTGGCGTTCTGTAGTGTTGACAGAAGTAAGCCAATGGATTCAATATGTTTAAACAGTCCAGATATTACTAAAGAGTGTAAATAGTAAATTTAATTTTCTAAGTCATTGAAAAGGCTTTAAATACTCTTAAGATACGTCTGATTCGTCAGCAGAGGTGTAGGGGATCTCAAAACTCTGGAACACACGGTTCAGTTTACATCAAGTATGATGAAAGTTCAATGTGTTCACTCGCTATGTCTAAAGTACAGTTTACACTTTTAATATATAGTGTGCATAGTGCGAAGATTAGGTTAAGATCCAAGATATTACATGTCGGAATGGCTATGTACTACAATATTTTTATTAATTTGTAATCAATGTAAATATCATAACTATCGTTAGCTTCCGTGTAGTTGATTTTCAAATTTTTTAGTGTATATGTTATTTTGCAGATACTTGTTTCTACATGTTAATATTAAACATTTGTTCTTTGAATATTTTTGAGTTAAACTGCCTTATCCTTTTTTCCTCTTTTTTTGGTTAACCCGAGTTGTGGTAATAACATCTGACCATAATGGGTTTCAGTACGGTTAGCCCTAATTCAAACCCTGTAGCCTATTCAGCAATATGATTTTGTTTAGTGATAACCACTTTATGCTTCAGAACTTACCTTAGATTCCAAAAGGAGGGGAAGTGAAAAGGCAGCACCATCATTAGCTTTACTTCCATTTAGCCAATATCAAACTATATCCATTAATTTATGGTGTTTGGTGTTGGTTTTTTTTTAACTTGTTATCACTCAAGATTAGTGAACCTCCCTACTGGTCACCAGTTGTCACTGCTTTTTATCATCACCCTTTGCTTGAGATGAGCCATTCCCACTAAGCTCTTTCACAGAGTAACCTTTTCATAAGCTACACACCCAACACCAGATCTGATCGGGGGAGCGAGCTGGCGTAGTGGCTAGAGCGCGGGACTTCGGTCCGTGAGGTCCCGGGTCCGATCCCCGCCAAGTCACCAATGGATTTATCTAAGTGATAATGCCGCAACCCCTAGGTCTAGCCTGAAGTAATGTGAAAAACAATCCCAGGCTCGTGCCTAGCGTCCTAGGACAAAAAAAAAAAAAAAAAAAACACCAGATCTGATCGAGACAGTAACACCCGATGTATGATGGAGTTTCTTGGCCGGAGAGGCAACTGCAACACCTCATGCTTGGCCTTTCTTCAGACAATTGACATAAATAAGTCAACACTGGTTAACAAAAAGCGTAGTTTGAATCTTGATGGCTAGGTTTGCAGCAAATGTTTGATAGTGTATCTCATCAGGCATTTGATTGTTGTACGTGAATGTATGTTTACACAACTCTTCGGTCTGATTGACCTTTGGATATCAAAGGATCAACGAAGACCATTAGTGTTTTAGGAAGGTAATTCATCCTTTACTTCTCATTGTAATATGTACCGTTTCAGTTGGCAGTAATAAAAAAAGTATTAAAAGTATTGACTTAAAATCCTTGTCATTTCTTGGATTCATCTGATTTTTTAGGTAAATGGTTGACAAAAAAATATTCTCGTGGTTGTGAAAATATTTGTTTATTGCCCAGTATTACAAACATAAGTAAAATTGAATTTAGACTAAACATTCTGAACACTTTGAACATCTATCCTTCAGCCAACTGGTAAGTAAAGTAAGGTAGGTGTAACACATTGAAATAACCACTTGTATTAAAAATTTTTTTTGGTATTGAAAATTTATAATATGTACAGTATCCACCAGTTAAATTTTATCTGAATTTGTTATAAAAAGAAAGTGTAAGAGATAACATCCTATTTAATATTTTTTAAACAAAGACACATTCAATACCTAATTAAAGTAAACAAAAATCTTGGGCAAAGCTAATGAGCCTAATGATATGGTGACAAAATCTTTGTCTATTACTAACTAAATCTATCTTCTACAAATTGGACAGAAGAATCTTATAAAAAATAATACTGTACTGAGGTATGCCGGATAAAATTCTGAGTGTTTAGTTATGTAGTTCTATAGTAATGTGTTTGGTAAAATTAGTTACGTTTGAATCAAACCCATTTGAAGTTTAACACAATTATTACAAGTTAACACCCAAGTCTTTACATTATTAACTTAGCATAACCAACAATAAATCAACAATATAAAAAAAAATGTGTAAGGTAAATGAGTTACCATATCTATTTAGTTGTTTTTTACTTACAGAGAAAAATGTACAAGTGTAAAAAAATGCTTCTAAAAGTACAACATTTAAAACTAACATTATTTAGTACAATTTACAACACTCATCTGAAGTTTAAGCCCTTGCTGAAAATAGCATGGACTCCAACTATAGGACTATCTGAATACACTGACGACTATCTAGAACCTGGAAAAATAGCTTAAATATAAACCATTAATAACAAGACCCATTTATACTGTATAAACCGTCTAGTATACACGAGTTTTATAAATGTCTATTGGAAGAAAGTAACTTTTTTCCTTGATGTATCATAGCCATTGCATGATTCAAACTTCATTGGATGTTTAAAGTCATTTTGGTTTTTATTTAATTTACTTAGGAACTTAAATGATTATTTGGCACCAGCATTTCAATTAACACTAATTTTGTAAGAAACAACATCCAAACAGCAATTTTCTCTATGAAAACTTTAAGATTTCGGAATTATTTTAAATTTAAAATTTATTTTGAAATTTCGTACACCAGGTAGTTTTTGAGGTTATTTCTACTAGTTAAAGCAATGTGTTTTGCTTTTTTGTGTTGAGTTTGTTGTAACCTACACCTACAGCAGATTGTGCAATATTTTCTCTATCTTTATCTTATGTCTATTTTACTGGTCTGTCTATTTTACTTGTACATTTTTTAAACTAATAATATTTCTATATAGGGTTCTTATTGCTCCTGAAAGGAAAAAAAATTAAAATAAACCTTTTAAATTAGACAAAAACACTACCTACTTTGCTGTGTCTCATCATATACAAAAAGAATTAAATATAGACCGTCAGTTGTGCTGCGGTTACCATAGGTTCTAGCGCACACCGCTGGGAGCGCCACATTGTTACGGCCTACGTGCTATGTAAGTACACGGCGCTCCCAGTGGTGTGCCCCAGAACCTATGATAACCATGGTAACCACACTGTATGGCTGACAGTCTATATTTAATTCTTTTTGTCTATGGTCTAATTTCTTTAAATATAAAAATTACCATACCTTGGGATTCAGGCATTTTAGTTTTGTTTGAATATCTCAATTTTATTGCCTTTAAAAACTTTAATCAACTAATCATTCATATAAATGGCTGAAGCTTTTGTGAAACAGGGAATTCATGAAACTGGTGTTCTCTTTCCACATTTTTTTAGTAGAAAGACATGAAATTTTTGTAAAAAAAATGAAATACCTGAGTATGCCTTTGAGCAAGAATCTACAACACTTATTCACTTGGGCATCAGATGCATAAAGCATAAGTTGATTCTTTGATATCAATTAAAGCTACACTAATATCAACATATTTGATGAACTAACAATTTAAGAAAATCTAGTATTCGTGAATTGTCTTTTCTTAAATCAAAAGCTCACAGAACATCGTCTTTTGTTACATATTATAGGTTATTCCACTAGAAAAAGAGATATGTAAGTAAAGTTGAAGTAAAACAGGTAGTAAGATTTTTTAAAGTAGAAAATTCAAACCTGTTCTAAAGAGTTTATTGTACCCAGGAAGTAGGAATGTGTATTCCTCACTATGCAGCATTGTAGAGGTCCAAGCTGAAGATGGCTATCGATAAAATTACTGAGAATAGCAGAAAAAATAATATTTTTGTAATGTTTTGAATCAATTAAAAACATATAAGCCTTGATATTGACAAGCAAAGGAATCGCTGGACAAACACAAACTCAAGGTAAAATTACGTCTTATTTATAAAAAAAACTTAATTTCCATCTTCCCATTTTGAATCTAAATTTGTTCTGTGGAAAGAGATATTTTATTTTAACTTTCATTGTAGATTAAATGATTCATCTTTGAGAGTAGAACCTAGGTAGCAGTCAGGTAAGTCCAACCATGTTTGCTGTGGTTTTAGTTTTAGTGAAAATTTAGTGAATTACATCTTACCTGAGTTAAGTTCTCTTTTTCCTCTATCTTAGAAGCCCTGGTGTTATTTCTTCTCATTTTTTGCTTTACTAATTGTAGTATACTCCATTCACAAAATTTAGGCGATTTTAGGGGAAGAAATCTATCCCCTCCACATCTTAATCCTATTATTAAAACATATCTCAACAGCAGCTGAGACTTTTCAAAACGTCAATCAGCCGCAACATAAGCAGAAAATGGTGGTGGGGAAACTTTCCCTCAAACAGTTGAAATTTTGTGAACGGACTATAGTGACGAACAGCTATTCCGTTCACAAAATTTGGCGGTTTAAGGGGAAGGTTTCCTGGGTTCCTCCAAACTTTTTTTTTGCTTGATCTATACTTCAGCTGATCAGCTCTGTTGTTTAAAAGTTAGGGTGAGGTGGAATCGCTTCCCCTCAAACCGTCTAAATTTTTTGAACGGTGTATAGTGCTGTCAATTGTTCTAGTCAAACTCCTTTCAAAATTATCACATGTTGCACACTTCAGTTGCAATATGAGCCATAAGTATTCAAGTTTCCAAAAAAATAATATTTTAGTTTGCAAATAGACAGAAATGTAGGCCTATTAATTATTTGATTTCTCAAGAATGTTATGTCCTTTTAAAACTTTCATTGTACTCTTTTGATAATGTCTTGTATTGTAGTATATTTTAACACCTTGTAATAATGTGTATGGGTGTTGTATTTTTGCTGTAAACAATCCATGCACGGGCGCTTAGTCTATGTGGACGGGCAAATGCAAGGTTAAAAGAGGCCGCCAACCTCTTAAAAAAAGGGGAAAAAAGTAATTTATAAGTTAAATTTGACAGAGTAAGAAGCTATTGAGAATGTCAAATATCAAATGCTTATAAAATCAAAAATTTCAATCAACTCAGTGCGAATGACTACATACGTACCTCACTGTTTAAAACAGACTTTGCATTATTATTCAGTGAAAAAATATACATTTTATTTTCAACTGTATTCAAATTAACTCAATTTGAAATGTCATTTTTAAATAACATTGTTTTTTTCTGACTCATAAAATTATTAGTTTTGAAATATGCTCTCTGGATCTCTTGAGCCTCAAACTTGTACCATATATTAAATACGTCTAAGGATAATGTTGATACAACAAGTTTCTTTCCTCCAGTAGAGTTATTGAGTATACACATGTATTTTGATACCTCACTAAAGTGTAATGTTACCAGTGAAAACAATTTAGACGAATAAAAGTCATTACAAGGGATCTAAGCTAGGTTAAAACTACAAGGTACCTTGTTTCCGGTCAGCAAAAGGAAAATAAAATAAAACAAAAACTGTGGAAAACATAATTTAATATGCAATAAATGTCCAAAATATAAGTATTTCGTCGAAAGTAAAATAAAGCCGCTAACAGAAAGTTGAATCGACCGACATAAATAATTGAAAAATCTGAGCATTCACATAGAAAAAGTGGAAAAATAAATTAATCGACAAAGAAACGAAGCAAAAATCAGTCGTATAAATAAAATAAACATAAACTAAATATACAAAACTACGCGTTTGTCGTTAGACAAATAGGAACTTTTATTTATAAAGTTGGTCCTCTCAGTTGAAACAAGCATCGAAATAATACTTTGGAGAAACAAAACTAGAAACGTAACAGAATATTACAAAAACTGATTGCAAAATTTACACGTCAAAACAGTTAACACTAATCTAAAAAGTGTTTATACTTCTATTATAATGTGTAAAAAATCTCTTGTGATTTAGGAACTTCTTTTCCGTTCTTCCTCACGACATTGGAAGACTGCAAGATGAAATTAAACAACCGATGTTATTCTATACATTTTGGATAACACAGAAGGGAGATTAACTATCTGAGATCATCAACGTTCTACGTGAATTGTTGAATCTTTGGAACACCAGTTGTGCCTGCGACTTTCCTAACGCAAGATAAATTATAAACATCCACACATCCAACAATCTGTTTTAGCAGCCAACATTGAAACATTCACAAATCACAATAATGACATCGCTAACGGACATTTCAACATTATTAAACAAGATTAACAAACTAATAATCGTAATGAATTAAAATGGCTGAAGATTGAAAAAAAAACGGGTTTTACATTGCAACAAAAAAACTGAAAACAATACACTCTATGGAATGTGAGTGGTAAAACAAAATGTTGGACGTATTTTAAAACTATCTACATACTTTCTACATTGCTCGACACCGACAAGAGAGTCGAACGCATAGACAAAGCTACACTGCGATGGATCCACATATATATATTTACAAACGGAAGTTCTGTACATTCACTGCCATACTTGCCCATGTAGTATGGTAAATTATAAATTGTATTTTTACTATTTCATAACTATGTATACAGTTAAGTTTCGCCAAATTGCACTCGCACATCCACTATTTAACATATTTGGAATGTTTATACATCAATTTCAATATAAAAGAACAACACCAGTCAGAACATCACAACATATTGACTTCATTTTTCAGCCTTTGTAAGATTTTTCAATATTTCATAATATACACGTTGTGTAAAAGAGTCTCAACAGAGTTCAATAAAAGTATAAAAAATAATACTATTTTCAAAACATTTCCATCGTACAGTAATGAACCAGTGAATCAATAGAAGAAACAAAAAGTTATTTTAGGTTTACAAGAGTTTGCAAAAGTGTCTTGTGTAAATTAAAGTTGATCAACAATTTTGTAATACCCTAATTACCTCATCCCTGTTCAGCAATCACACTAAGCAACATGAAGTTAATTTAAGGGGATTGGTCAATTAATTGTACCTGGGTGTATTAAACTCATCAATTATCATCTATGCAATCATTCTCCTGATTTAGGCTTTGATGATAAATAATAAGATTCAAAGATGTCATCTCGAGTTCCTACAGACAGTTCCAATACATTGTATTGATGGAATTGATATAGATTTGTATGATAAAAAAATTACCCAAGGGTTTTGAGTTTTCACCTGTCTAACCTTTGAGTCAACGTTAACATTATTCCTCAAATACTTGAGAAGATTGTAAAGGAAAAATCTTTGAAGCTTTCCAAAATGAAGTCAAGTAAGATACCTTTGTGACATTACGAGTGGTGTTGAGTTTGAAGTGTTTAGAAGTCCACTCTACACGGTCAGTCTTGGAGCACCGGCGAGTGGTACCATGGTCATTCAGGGCGAGGAGTGTACGAGTGGTGGGAATGAGAATGGGGGTGTGGGGAGGGAGAGACTAGAGACAACGGGGAGGGAGACTGCTGCGGCATTGGTAAATGTGTCGACGTCGGATGTAGCGGAGCCCCGAACATGTTTGACGTTGGCGATCCCATCGCTGCGGTCGGGGGGTTTATCCTCTTCTCCTTCTGCCGCCTGAACAAAGAAAACCCAAAGTTATTTAACAGTAACTATGCAGCAGAATGGTAGCCATAATCACAATTCATGTTACAAGTACATTACTGTTACAATCTGTATTATTTAAATTATTATAATCTTGTGCCTTTTAGTTGTGTTCTCCAAAAATGCTTTTCTCACAAGAGACACCTATCCAGTTTTAAGATGAACTAGTTTGAATTACCATTCTCCGTCAAGTAATCTTGCGTTAGTAACACACTACTATAGTTTTTGACTACTAGAATAAATCTGTGTGGCACAAACATCTAGTTATCCATCCAAGTCGGGCAGATCCGAGATCCGTCAACACTTAATATGTCATACTTGAAGATTGACTCTATTACTGTAGTCCAAAGCTGTAGTGTATCACAAACACAAGATGATGAAGGTGGTTGAAACTATTTTAGCTTAAGTTCAGTTTTGTTTTCTATAAGTGGACCTTCAGATTTAGGGAGCTCTTGAACCACAAGATCATTTTCACAAAGCTGAACCATTGGTCATTGGAGGAATTTGAACCCTGAACCCTTACTAAGGCAGAACACTGGTCCAGCACCTGTTGGATATGAAACTTCAAGATAATTTAGCTGACTTGATTGTTTTGAGCACAACTCATGCAAAATATGAGAGGTATTTTTTTTAGAATGCAATGGTTGAAATGAGTTGAAATAAATAGGTACATAGAAAAGAATCAAGGAAGGTTTTAATATTTTTAGGTAATTTGGACATGAAGTTACAAGGAAGAGTTACAAGCCATATGACAGAAGATGATTATTCTCCGTTCTTCTTTGTGGGGATAACGTTATTAATGGGGAGTGACAATACTTCCATCTTCATATATAGACAGAATGACTGGATGTTAGTCACCCAAAAAGTATTAAAAGTGCTCTTTTATCTTTTAATTTATTTGCAGGAACTCTTTTTTATATGTTGTAAAAGTGTAGTTCTTATATTTACTTTAGTATTTACTACTCTTATATTTACTACTTAGTTCTTATAGATTACAATGTTTTGTTTTTAGACTGAGACAGTGTTAGGTTCCTGGCTTCATACAACAGTATGTAACTTTAAGAACTATCAAATCTTTGTCAGCCAACTAAGTAAAGTTTGACCCCAGACGTGTTGAACAGACTTTCACTGCATAAATCTTGCAGCCAACAACAACATTTGCTAAAAATGTTTTGGTAAAACACATGAATAGTATGTCACATGAGTAGTAGCTTCTGAATAGTATGTCAAAAGATAATATTTTATTTTTCCTTATTTCAAATCTGTAGTTTTTCATAGATTTGTAGCTACCAGTAGAGGATACTGGATTTGAAATGTTGCCTGAACTCAAATTGATTGTTACAATCTAAAGATTTATTTATACTATCTATTCACAATATTTTAATAAAAAGACCTAAAAGTCATGCAAAATGATTGTAAAAGCCTAGGAAAATAATGATTGATAGCAAAACTGATAAATGAAAAACTGTAAGCCTGACAAGACTAGCCAATGAAAAAGGTAATCTTGATATTAACTTTCAATATGAACTATTTTTTTTTTGCCATGAATTCCAATTAGACTTAAGGATATTGTGTTTTTCTAAATAAAAATTGCTTCATTAAATTAACACAATGCAAACACTTAAAGAGATCAAATTAGTGTTCAATATTACTGTTTCATTGACAACATCTGCTATGGAAATATAGAGGGAGGAGTCAAACCCTCTAAACATCATTATTTTAGTTTTTCTTTGTGATTAACATATACAACACATCTCAACAAATTATTTGATTTGCTAAACATTAATTTGGCAGGTGTTAGATGCTGATGACCAGGCATTCCACTAGTAACCCAGAAATAGTAATCTAGAAACATAATCCACACTGAACTAAAAAAATATACAAAAACTAAAAATAGACAGCGCTTAAAACTGTATGAAATAATAAGAAAAACAGAGGAAACGGATCGGAAAGAAATTGAAGTAGGTAAAAATGAGACTTACGGGAATTTGTGGAGTCTCGGTGCGGGCCCCACAGCCCATGCCCTGAAAGTCGAACAAGAAGTATAAGACGAACTGGAGGCTTGAGGAATAGACTGGAGGCATGCTACAGATATAGACAGCTCGCATGGACTGTGGTACCAGATGATAAAGAATAGATACTAGACACATCCACTCACCTATTGCAGAACCAGACTCGTACAACCTCCTTCTCCATCCCCAAGCTGTCCGCAAGCATCGAGATCTCCTCCGAAGTGGGTTTTGGGTTCTGCAAAAACGCCTTTTCCAGCGCTACTCGTACGCTGGTTTCTATTGACGTCCTTTTCTTCCTACGTCTTCCTATCGCCTCTGGTGTCGTGAGGGGATTGTTTAACGAGTTAGGGTTATTCACAGAATTGTCCGCGTCTAACAACCATTTCTGTAGCAACGGCTTCAGTTTACACATATTTTTAAATGAGAGGTTCAGCGCTTCGAACCTCGAGATTGTCGTTTGGGAAAAGTCGTTTCCGTAGAGTTTTCCCATGGCGAGTCCGACGTCTCCTTGCGTAAAACCTGAAAGAGAACGGAACATGGAAACTTGCGATATTTGCGATTCAAATTCTTAGTTTTATTCAGTAAAATTGTTGACTATGGCTAAACACAACATGAACGTAATGGAAAGACAGTTACAGACCTAGTTTGATCCTTCGTTGTTTGAATGTCTTGGCGAATGTCTCGAGCTCCTCGAGGTCTGTTGTTTCCTCAGTATCCAGCAGTCTGGAGGTTGGGCTCTTGATGTGGTGAGAGCCTTGAGCTGCGGCTTGCTGCTTCTGTAGCTGTTGTAGCTGCTGAGCTGCTTGAGCTACAGCTTGCTGAACCTACACACAACCATCAGCCCAACTTTACAAGAGAAAAATCAGCGTGCTTATCTAGAGGTCAAAGACTTCTTGACTTTCAAGATATTTCCATGGACTTTTTAAGACTTTATTTTACTGTAATAAGTTTATGATTGACAACCCAATAAATTTGTAATAAATAATCCAGGATTCCCAAAAGGGCCATTTGATGTTAAATTGTCCTGGTTTTCAGTAAAACAAAACAAAATATCCCTTTGTAAATACAAATATTTTTTTAAGGAATAGAATGATATAAGACTATTTTTTCTTGTTTAGAGACACAAGGAAAAATTTGTGTGGAAGAGACTATTAATTAGACAACATTTATGTAATCTGTAAGAACTTCTTCAAGAAGAATGTGACCAAAGTCTGAAATCGTGCAATGTTTCCTGTGATTGTGAAATATATGAAATACTAGATAAACATGCTATCAATTTAGATTTTTTAATTACATTCATGCAATAAGCCAAGCCAACAAAAGACAGATAGTGATGTAAGGTAAGTACCTGCACAGAGTGAGAGACTCTTGGAGATGGAAGATTTTGCCTGGAGTAGCCATGAGATAGAAGACCCTGTAACCATCACAAGTCTTAGCATGCAGCCAGTAAAAACTACAAAACTACCACAGACTATAGAGGTTATCAATGCAGTAGTAAGAACTACATTCTTGATCTTCCAGTGTCAAATTGGTATTTACAATGTTTCCATTAGGATATTTACTCAATACTAGACGTTTCGCCCATTCTATGACGTCTGGTATCGTAAATAATGTAGATATCAATTTGATGCAACTCTCACCAAAAGATCAAGAATATAGTGATGCCACTGGCCGCTTAAGCTTGCCTACAAATGAAGACAGTCATAAGAAGTTTCATTAGTCCCTAATTCACGTTTATATTCTAATACAGCCCCCATGTAAGTATTGGTTTACTACCTGATCCAAACTCTAAATATATTTTTTAACAGCAACAAGAAATGTTAACGGGTATTGTGAGAGTAAATGTTGTGTGAACTACTGTGTGAGGCAGTAAGTTTGTTGAAATAAAGTTTTCATGACAAGTGGAACCTGAAGTAAAGGCTAGCTTTATTTAATGAAAGAGTATTCAAGTTATACAAATGTGTTATTAATGAACTCAATGATGCACAATGTCAACAATGCACACTCAACAATGCAGGTGTCAACCAAAATTAGTCCGACTACAAAATGCCCTCCATACAAAATAAAATTACAGGTGGTTTAAAATATGACTATCTATATATCTAATTCCGTAAGCCCAAAATTTTACAATGAAATTGTGAGCGAACGGGAGGCCGTAGAAAGCTGGGAGAGGTCTCATTTTAAAGGGCTGGGCATGAAATTTTGGGGAAAATTATTCATTTTTCATAATTATGCAGCAAGCGGCTGCTACGGAATAAAATAACTCACATTTAAAGTTTATTTTAAATTTGAATATGGCTGTTACGTTCAAGAGTGATAAAAACCAGCTACAACAGTTGGTTTTGTTGAATTTTTGCAATGGTTATGGAACTAGAATGCAGAACTATGCTTAAAAAACAGATGTTATTTTATGTTAAAAAATTAAAGGTAGAATATGAAAAGTGAACGATTTATTCAAACTCTTGCTGCAGTAAGTTAAGAAAATACAAAAACGTAAACATATTGAAAAGTTGACTAAGTTTACAAGCGCTTAAGTAAATGCAGAAACCTCTCTCTATTGCTGTTTTGTAGAACAATTTGAGTAACAATTCCAACCAATTCACAAGGCATCTCAACTCTTCCCACCTGGTTTTGAAGGAAGAACTGCGCCTGAGTTGGAAGCTGTCCCCCTGCGCCTGGCTGGAACATGACAAACTGCTGCAGTTGTTGCTGCAGATTGTGCTGGTGTTGCTGCAGTTGTTGCTGCAGACTCTGCAGATCCGCAGCGCCGAGGTTGGGGATTGGCAGACCTGTCAGTTGATTCTGCAGCAGTAGTTGCTGTCCCTGTGCAGCCCCCAGGCTCATCAACTAAACAAAAATTAGTATCAGGACTTGTTATAGTATCAAAATTAGTTGTAAAAGGGTTGATTAGTGCTTATGAATGCTTACATTTCACTTCACTAAGAGGTATTATTTTGGGAGACAGCGACATTAATGTAAAAATATAAACCTGAATATGATTGCATGTTGACTGTACTAAGGAACATTGCAAACCCGACACTGAAGTATACTTTCCCGGTATTTAAATAGAACATAGGTAAATGAGCCACTCACTGAATGTGCTGCTGCCAACATTTGATTTTCTTTTTTCATTTTTTTGTACAGTACTATGATAGCCAGTGGGATATACTAGTACCGGTAGCTGATAACATTTGGTATTACAGTAGAACCTCGATAACAAGACTCTCACGTGGATTATAAAATAAGACTTTTTATCAAGGTTGGCTTCTTATTGAGGTTTGCAATAACATGTGATCAGGGGTAAAATAAATTCAAGGGGATTTGAAAATTACACTTGTTATCAAGGGCAACTTGTCATAGACATAGAGGGTTTCCTTATTGAGGTTTCAATGTATTGTTGTGGAGTATTTTGTTGTTGAGGTAAGTTGGCAAGCCTGAACTCACCTGGTTGAGAGACAGCTGACCAGTCTGCAGTGCTGCCAACGCGGCCTGGACACTAGCGGCTGAGCCGTTACTGGACGTCACCTGGCTGGAGACTCCAGAACTCGGAGAACTGGAGGCTCCATTGGTCGTCTGTCTCTGCGAAGTCTCTGTAACCTACAGCAGACAAATATTTAGTGCACGTTTCAGTGTTAAATAGAGTACCTAACCAAGAACTTTTTTGGATTGTTATGGTTGTATTTTGTCAATGGATAATTTCATGATAATTTTATTTCCATGTGCCATGTTAAAATTGTAGACGTTTTTAGAAATATGAATCTATATAGTTTATTTGAGCCAACAATAGAAAAATTTATGTATAGTTTTAAAGGTGGACCATATAGGTGAGCTGCCTTCTTCAGTATCCAAAAGTCAATGGATTGTATAAAAGGTATGTACTTAGTTGTGAATTTTTTAAAGTTACAATTTATTACAATTACAAAGTTTAATTTAACACCCTCATGCTAAAGAAACTGTGAGTACTACACAGTTATGTTCTTTACATTAATCTTAATTTGCATTAACTTTCTCATAGATTACCAGTACCGGTACCAATGAAAAGGTAGGTTACAATTTATGGGAGGTTAGAGGTTACTTTACGTAAGTTTATACAAATCATACAAGTTACCTTTTCAGTAACCTAGTTATTCAACTTAAGCAAGAACATGTAGCCTTACTACATTAAAAGAACAATATATTTAATTCAAAGTACTTTTCTTTACAATACCAATATAAGTGGGTAAATACTCATAACTAAGCATTGAAATTAGTAGAAATAATTAATAAAAAAAATTAAAACTGAATCTCATGAAATTATTCAATTCAATTTCCATTAATACAAACGTGGGGAAAGTATATTTGTTAAATAAAAAGACAAAATGTCTCAAGAACTCCGTTTTGCAGTTACAGAGGCATAAGATGCAGGCAAGGCATAAAAATGATTTAGAAGTCGGTCCTGCATTCCCACCCATGTTCTATCTTTTGCACTCTCCACTTGAATAAATCTTGTCCACAGCCCAAACCAAATCTGCTTTTGGATACAGATTTAAGTGTTTTTCTCAAAGAAAATTGCAGAAACAGAATAATAGTGTTTTTAAGTTTTGGCTTGATAACAAGTTAAGAAATCTTACTAAAAACCTCACTTGACAATCAATTAGGAAATTCAACAGATACTGTGAAAAATGGGTACAGTACGAGCAAACAATTTTTATTAATATTAATCCTCTATTAAACAGTCATCATGATGAATAGGTTTCGGTAAGTTTTTTTTTATAAAACAATTTTTTTCAACTGAATTGTGGGTCATTTTGTACATTAATTTTCTTGGATGTTGACATTGCATTTTAAATTTGATCGTATAGTATAAAAAGAAAGTTTAATCACCAGATTCAGAGCGGATTCTTTTTCAGAGTCAACAGAGTCCAAAACTTCACTACTTGAGCTGTCATTGCTAGCTTCTCCTTCTCCATTGGCCAATATATCTGGAACATAATTTATGTAAGTATTAGAAAATAAATTTCAAATGTTGAATCCTGAATGTTGAGACCAATATAGATACAATGTTCTACTCTTGAAATACAACCTGACTTAATTATGATGTAATTGGAATGTATCTTGAAGGATGTAAGAAGGGAATTGAATGGAGAGTTTTTGCAATACTGAACTTCAATAAGGAAAAATGCACAATAAAACTATTTCCAATGAGGAAAAGTGAATCAACAAAGTGTTAAAGTGGGAAATTGTAATTAAAATTCTATAAGATAACAATAAAACAATCATTGACAACAAACATTTTATTTTTTAGTCTCAAACATGTTACTGCAATTCAGTGCCTATCATGAAATATTAGAATGTTTGTAACTGTTTCTTGGGGTTTTTACTTTTATTTTACATTTGAATCGTTGATTTGTTATTTTCAACAAACAAGGATAAAGGTATGAAATGATTAATTTTACAGTAAACAGTTTAATTTTTTGTAGCAAATGGCTAACCATCAAATGTAAGTAATTTTAACACTACGTCCATGGGATTAGACTAACGTTTTCCATTTTAACGTTCAGATTCATCGTTTTCCACCGAACAATAACACTTTTTACCCTTTGAAACCCCCTGTATCGTTTGCCAATTATTTCCGATTTATAAATCACGTCCGTGGAATCAGAGCCAAATGGTTAATTCGTGATAAAAGACGATTATTTATCAGTAACTAGCAGCGACAGCGGCGCGACAGCTTGCGCAAATGGCGGTTCCAACAATCAGAACCAATCAAAAAGAAATGATCACATGTAGTGTTATTGAAGGGGAGAGAAGGGGTTATGCACGGCACGCGGCACAGCCTAACCCTAACAATGTTAATCGCGAGGGTGATCCATCTTGTGGACAGCCTCCCCAGAGTAGCGCTACGATCTAGCGGCCAAACGTGTAACTACTGACAAACAGTTGTTGTTAACTCAAACAACAGGTTGCGCACTGAATCCTTTTTATAAAAAACAAATTTATTTTTTTCTGTACTAAATGGTGTTCCAAGATTTGTTTACTATTTGGTAGACATGTAATGCAACGTGTAATATCAATATATACGCTTGTGAAGTTTTCAAAATGTAGGGTATTGTATTTTACTCTTCAACCAACAGAATAAAATACTACATGGAACAACTGCAATAACTTTAAATACAGTAGCCAAATGAATAAGTACCATGACCATGCCTAAGTTACAGACATTTTAGTACAGAATGTGATCGGGTAGTCTTGCAATGGTAATTATCAAAATGCACATTTTATTGTAATTTGTTGTTCCTAAATTTTTAACTCAGTAGGGAATCTACATGATTATTCTTGGACCTGACACATTACATAATACAAGTTTTGGTTGGATGAGTTGGAAAATTTATTTTGGATTCAAAGTTAAAACTTTCGGTTACATTACAGCCAACTTAAAATCAAGTTTTAAACGCAGTTCAAGACAGTTGGTTCCGGTCGAAGTTCGGCGAATGTATCTAATTCGAGGGAACATTAATGGGGGCGGTGATGGATTGGGGGGGGGGGGGGAATTAGCACCCCCATCCCTCCAAACCCGCATCCCTTCATTAGAAGCCCGTTTTAAATTGTTCCCGTGCGGGCCTAGCCATGTTTTTATAATCTACCATATTGGTTACTAGTCGTGTGAATTCGCCGCCGTTCGACAAACTGATGGGTTTTGGGAAACATCCCCTGATTGTGGTGGGAAAGTATAAACCGACAACGCCCTCTAGAAAAAAACTTTAATTAACTTTAGATTTTGGGAGCGATACATTACAAATAGTAGCACATTTGACTAAGCTCAGTAAAATTGGTCTAAAACTAAATTATGGTGTTAAAATAAACAGCTTTTACTAAATTTTACTACGACACAAAAGTTTGTATTGCTCTAGATGCCATTCAACGTTTAAACTGTTCAAGATTAATTCAAATCGTTATCAAAAAGGTTAGACGATAAGTTGAGGGGATGTACATTTTATTTTTCAAGTGCAGCTCAAATTACGACATCAACAATTTTATTAAGATGTGAATAAAACTGGATAAAACTACGAATATTTAGTAGATACATGCATATTTGCTCAAATAAAAGATAAAGTTTATGATTGAAACCAAAATTATGAAACACAATGTCTTATAAAACATGTTCTTGTTTTAGTTATAAACAAATAAGTAAAAGCGTATTCTAAATTTTAAGAAATAATATGTAGTTGCATAAACATTTCTAAAAAAACTACTCAGTTAAAATGTTTTTAGCTAAAAAGTAATTTTTATGGTATACAAACAAATATGTTACAAACGATTTCGTTATTTAAAGTTTTACTAAAAAAATCACCCAATACACGTCCATGTCTAAAGCATTTCACAAATGACTGAGGTGGGTGTAAACTAACATCAACGCTCACAAAATAATATTTTTAATTCAATCTTTTTTCAAAACATAAAAACAAAACCGCGCTCACAGCGGTGTCCAAAAGAACGTCGAGCTCATCGCAAGGGGTGAGTCGGGGGTCTCAATAGACTGTTTATTTCTTAAAAAGCTTATTTAACCACCCTTGTAGGGTAGGACCCTCAGGTTTATAATCTGCTAGTGTCAATCATATCCAATCATGGCCCGGGCGCGGGAGGGGTTAAAAACTAATAGCGGGTCAGGGGCTGTTTTCACGCATGTAGGAGCAGGCAAATTGAACTTTTTGGGAGGGAGAGGGGTAAGGGGATCTGCATGAACCATCCATCTTGTCTCGACTTGCACATCGTCGATCGGCCACTTTAAAGTTAGAACACATCGCTTCTGTCTGAATGTTAGCCTTAGAGAATACGTCCGATTTGTTCCTGTCGTGTTTCGTTGGAAATACTTATTGCGAGCGATGTAAAAACTTTGTGTTTTCTGACAACTAAATTATATGCATTCTTGTTGGACACAACTTCAACGTTCAGAAAAATATTTTTAATTTTTATCTGTCTTGTCTGAATGCTATTCTTCGAGGATAAGTCTGATTTATTCTTGACGTTTAAGTGAAAACATCAAACTAACTGTACTAGTAAGCTAACAGGTTAAGAGAAAGTTTTTTTGAAAAGCATTTTGTTATATCTTAATTTTAATATCCTATCCTAAGGAGAGCTCGAATAAAACATAATGTAAGTGGTAATTAAAAGATTAGTGGTAGAATTATATGAACATTATGAAAGTTGTAAGTTAATGAAAACTAGTCTTGGTTCAATAAAGTTTTACATTAAAATACTATTTTAGTTTTCTTTACTAATACTTTTTATATTCATCAAGACCACGCTGACACACAATTTGCTTTGTAAACCCTTTATACACCATAAAACATAATGCTTTTTGTGATGATTATACCCCATAAACATCATGTTAACCACTTCAAAACCAAATCCGTATACAATATTTCCGGCTTATACTGTATTACATCAGTTATATTAAAACTACAAATATCCACGTATTCATTTGAATAGAAGTTCAGCATTCATTGTTTCAGAGTAACATGAAATGTACTTATTTAAACGAGCTGAATAAAGAACGGCTTAAAATTCAACATAGTCATATTTAAAGTGTGTCGATTTCCTTTCCAAGATGTATAAAGGGGCCGCGTATGATCAGAGAGTCAACCAAGGAATACAAATGTGTGACTGCATGTGGCGCTAGCGGTCAGAGGCGGTAGACTGAGGAACTAATCATTCAACAATGCATTGGCTCGGAGGTGCACCGATATTGTCTGCAAAATGTATTATTATGTATGGAGGGTTACAAAATAAAAAAATATGTACAAAGGATTTTAAAGCTATTTAAATTACGAAAAATTATAATGAGTTTTAATATATTTGTATATTCTAGCATCGAATTATGGAAACACAGGCACTTCGGTCCTGAGAAAGGTGTTTTTTATGGTTGAAAACTGGGCCTATAAATAGCTATCCTTGATCGTAAGACTTCTAGTAATGGGTCTTAATAAAATAACTATATAGGTAATCTCGCCCCCATTATAAACGCACCCTGTATATATTCAGCCGAAAACTAATGTATCCCAGTTTAGTATTGTAAACATAGATCATTCTTTATACCCCACAGTCAAAATAAAAATCTGATTTTTCAATTACATAAAATCAACAAAAGCTAAAACCTCTGTCATGCCAAGATCCTAATAAATAAATTTATAAAATGTGTTTGGTTGGCAAAAAAATTAAATGGACAATAGTCATACATACTAGCAAATAAATTACGCCAATGAATTTGTTTGTAGATAACATTGTGTTGTGTGACTTTCGCTTGACCAAACGTTCCGCCTGCGAGTTGCAGCCCAAGGTCCTCATGTACGATTGCAAGATCAAGATGGCAGCTGCACTCCACAGATCGACCCTATATACGCACGTCACGTAACGGCAAATGTTATATTCCTTTAATTGTACAGTCGTTTCCAGGAATAGATTAAAATAAATTAAATGCGTGTGTGAGCGGCGCGCATTAGCAAGTCTGATGCATTGATGGATTGAGACCGGCACGCACAAAGGCTGCCGAAATTACGTCCGTCTGTCCGTCTGTTTGGATTGGCATTTCAAAACAGAGCCGCTCCACGCCCGCCGCCGTCCGATCAAAGCGCAGTGGTTTCCGATATTTTCGAAATGTGGGGTAGAAGGGAAATGGGTCGATAGTTGAGGAAGGTGGATAGGTGTCCTTTCCAACGATTGTCATATTGTTTAATGAATGAAAAGTTAATCAAAATTGACAACCATATAACTATTTCGATTTTATATTATTGCAGTTTAAACCATAATTTGGCTGTACAATACAGCGTACTATTAAAGCGCAGTGGTTTCCGATATTTTCGAAATGTGGGGTAGAAGGGAAATGGGTCGATAGTTGACCTCGGTAGATATGTGCCCTACCCAATTCGTAATATAATTTTTACTTTAGCTTGCTGATATTTTCTGAAGAATCAACAGCCATCTCAATAAAAAATTATTTCCCTGTATACCGACCGTCATTTCAATATCATTCCTGAACGCTCTATAGCGGAAGAGTGAGTAAAATTGAGTAAATTGTACTTATACGATTGACTTGTGGTCTACTCGTACTCACCTGTCTGTAGGGGTGGCGGGCTTGGATTCTTGTCTGGACGGTCACCACCTGTAAACAAACAAATCATGAGACACGGTTTTATAACCGTCGACTTCCGGTTCCGGTCCGGGGCACGCGACAGACCAGACTGTACTTCGCGGTTGTCGGGTACAGTCTGCACCGGTCATTGTAGACTCCATATCAAGAGGAGTGTGATAAAGTAATTTATGGTTAATTAATTCGTTAATTTATCGCGCGGAACAAATTTTAAAGCCCTGAGATGTTGAGATATAGGTGTGATGCGTGGCGTTTGTACAGTATGAGCTATATATTTAGCTTTTATCACTTATAAGATACTTATACAATCAGGTTCAACGGTCGGCTACATTTTAGCAGCTACATGTTCTGCAATTACAAATATTCAAAAAGAGCACAAATTAAAAAAAAATATATATAAATGGCAACAAAAAGTTAAGCACACCTTAAACATAAAAAAAAAAAAAATATTGATTATGAACTACGAAAGATTACCTTGTTAACAGTTTAACCATCGCGTTAAACTATAAAAAATTCAATCCAAAAGCAAGCCGTGGTTTTGATAAGAAGTTTGAAAAACACCACTATCAAACAAATAAAACTATAACAAATCCCAACACCAATAACCCTTTAAGATTGTGATTTTGATTGGATGTTTAACTCCACCCCATTAAGCAGTTTAACTATCACATAACAAATCCCAAAGAATCGCCCAAATATACTTGTATGTTTCTAAATAGACCCTTAATACGCACAGCTCTTGCCATGCAATTTGACAACATCTAAGACTTGTCACTTTATACGTTCTTTCGTAAAGGAACGGAGGAAAATCTGGCCTTGTTACTATCAATAGTTTGTTACCGATTATATTAATTGATATGCCGATGACAAATAGCACAAGAGCACAGACTATAGACCAATGAGTCTATAACCGAACAAGTCAATAACAAGACTACAAGATCGTGCCACTCATCCTACACTCATCTCTATTCATACTTGGCTTAAAATACCTACTTTGTATGGTCGCCATTTCAATAAAAAGTATTAAAGTATTAACACTGAGGATCAAACCAGCAGCCTTAGATTAGCTTTAGATTTGAAGGTGAGCACTATAATTACTCAGCTACCAAGACAATTAAGATATCAGCTAAACAACAACCTCACATTAGCTAGTAAACAAATCATATAACAAATCTCAATCCCTCTAACCCTTTTGGCACCTCAAAAGGGCGCGAGCTGCCCTAATTGCTACTCGGGGGACCCCAGCAATACCTTGCATTATTTTGAGCTAAGCTTGGTCGTGTGGCCCAGGGCGTGCAGGTGCCGCCTAGGCGCGTGGCAGGCGTCAGGTGGTAGCGCCCAGGTGGGGTAAGTTACCATAATAAAGGGTAGCAATGGCTTTTGAATATGTCAATGGCCAATTGAGAAGGGTAAAGGGGTACGAGTACTTGGTAATTGTGGTTGATTTGTAAAGACTTGAATACGAGGGGAACCTCCTTCTTGACTTGCGACCAAGGGGTAGTGGTGTATTTTATATCGAGACTTAAAGAGTTGTATTGATTGTATCGGCGTTTAAATGTGTTTAAAGGATTGAAGGCATCTATTTGTCTGTACGACACCAACACAGGATATTTTGTATTTTGATGCGAATATAATTGAAGGATGGGCATCTGTTACTGACAAATATCAGCTAGTTGTTTTCCCAAGACCATTTATTTAGTCCACAAAACAGGTGGGTCCTGTTTTGATTAATAAAATGCTAATAAATGTTTTCTTTTCAGGTACAAGCTGGAGACCTTTTGGTTGTTAGATGACACCACTCTGATGCCCAGTATCTGGCATGAAATGCCAGAACCTGTTTGGGTAATAACACATTTGTTGAATAATTACTACAGGATCGAAACGGTGTAAATATGATCCATAACTCCATTTACGTCATTCAAGTGGACCGTTTTCACACAGGGGTCAGCTGTTAGTTACCCATGCGCCATGACGTCACTAATCCATTGTTAAAGGGCTTCCATCACGTTGAATAATTCATTTCATAATCCTCTTACAGAAGGTTTCACAGTACAGAAAGTGCATTCGCTGATCGTTTAGCATTTCCAGCAATTTCAGTAGCTTTTGGATGGTTCAAAACTAAACCCAGCTGATCATGGATAAATTAATTAAAGACACAGCTGATCTTAGTAACAAAGTTACAAAGACTATTGACGTCATTACAAATTCATCCTACATTCACATTCATAGTCAGTAAAATACCTAAAAAAGTGCGTCACTGTCTAGGTGATTAATTAAGTAGTTGATACTTAATTGCGCTTAAATAATCATTTATTCGATTACGTCACGTTGGAAATCCCAACACACGATTTACATTTCCCTTACCTATGCAGATCTAGGCACTCCTTTACGCAGCAATTAGTAGAAACCTAGAAATGAAACTCTGGTTGCAATTTGTTGCACGTTTAATTAATTCAATCAATAGCCTAATTAGAGCCGTGTACCAGTTAAAAGGTAATTTACTATCTCTTGCAGTTCCGAGATTGCAATACCTAGACCTGTCCCATTGAATTCTCCGTTCCAGTAACTTTATGTAAGAGGCAAACCTTTGAAAATTGCATGATTAGTCATAAGAAAACATTGGAAACTGTACGAGGTTTCCATGAAATAGTAGAGGTTGAGAAGCAAGCCAATATGTAGGTACGATTTAAATTTAAAAACGAGTTACGTAATTTTTTTAACATAAAAAAGATAATATTTTTGGTTGTCTCTTTTTAATACGATGACTAAACATTAGATAACTAACAACCATTAAATCCAACAAATGATAAAATATTGTGTAGGCACCTTAAGAATAAGTTTTTTATTTACCTGTGATGAGAAGAGAGGTACACGATCATTTAACTAACTACTTAACGCCACGCTTAACGTCATTTTGGACGAAGTAGAAATATAAATGAGTTGTTTACAAGTTGATGATTGGATTTTTTAAATTTGTTGTTAATACTGCATGTTTTTTTGTTCTCGTCTTGCAAAACTGTATTTGTGGTATGCTCTAATAAAATACAGATTGTAGAACATCTAACTACAATTTAATTTAAATAGCTCGACAATCTTTTACTCTATTCTAAGACAGCAAGCGATGGCGGCGACTGATACGGTTAATTTTTAAATGCACTTTCAGCCTATGTAAATGTAAACTGAGGGTGGAAATAGTGGAAGGTCCGAGTGACCACCGAGCCCCCCCCCCCCCCTAATGCTGGGGACCGGACCTTATGCAAGTTTGATAATCTCATCTCTCTCTGCATACATCTCCATAGCGACATCAATATTGAGGGGGACCGTTGTCCAGCTGGTCTCCAGTTTAATTTGTATGCCAAGACGTGCCCCCCCCCCGCCCCCTGTACCCCATAGACGTGTCAACAGCTCCTATGCGGCCGTACGTGCATGGATGCCGCGGGGGTCGGCCTGTTTACTTATTAAGGGGTAAAAAGAAGGTGGTCATTTTTATAAACGGGTAGTTTTTAAATGTTTGAATGAGTAGTTTGGTTAAGATAAAAGATATTTTTTCTTGAATTTATTTGGTTTAATTTTGCTTGAACACGAGGAAATAAATTTAGTCTTATCTTAGAACTGCATTTTTCAATAATTTTTCGATTATATTTTGGGACAATACTACTTTAATGAACTTTTTTTGCAACTGACGCTGTGAAGATATTACAAGGTAATTTGTTGAGTAATAAGTCGACTAAAATAAAGAGATATTTAATTCCGGCTAAGTTAAATTATAGTCTTTAAGAGATATAATTGTTATACCTTTTAACTTACATAGAAAACAAATATATTTTGTGACCCAGTACTAAGTTTCATATGGTTTTATATGGGTGCGTGCTAGAAATATTCTAGGAAAAATTGTTTGATAAAATTTGTAATCATGAAGAACAACACGGTGTTTTGGAACGATATTTCGTCAAAAAATCTTATTTTATTGGTGTTAACCTAGTCAAATATAATGTCATCTTACGTTGTAAACAATTTCGTATGAAATAAATTAACCTTTAACAGTCTGTTCTTCGTAAGAATTAATTTAACAGTGAATTTTTACATCCCAAAAAAACTTTTAAGGAAAAATCTTAATTTCCCTTTATCAGTTTACCAATATTTATCCTTTTTTCAAATCAATACCATTGTTGTATCTACTTATCTGCAACAACTACATTTTCAGGTCGCCGTGTCGCAAGAGATGGTTGCTAAGATACCGAACGATTAAGGACGGAGCACTCCGTGTATGGCGCTGGAGACATGTTATGATCATTTGTCTTGGTCACCCCAATATGGCAACTGGGGAGAGAAAATTCCATGTAGAAAGGCAGGTGACACCCCTGTCGTGGGAGGGATAAAAAATACAACCCGCAGTGCTTAACAGATAATACCCAAGGGACGGTTACTTTGGCTTAAGCATTTTGTTTTGTTGGTTCAGAGGCGGTTTTGAATGGAAGTATTGCAAACACTTTCCCCTCAAATTTTTGGGAATGTATCGGGAATCGTACCCGTATCCTTTGTACCGAAGTCCGTGATTTTAACCAGACTCAATTTTGCATTTAGCTATTTTATTTGATAATCTATTTTACAGTGTTTGATCATATAGTAATACGTTAAACATAAAACGTTGTAGATTTAACTGAAGTTCAAAGGTTAGATAAAACTAATTTTACGCAATAAAATAAACCATTACTTATCCTCTACTATGGTAATATGGCAAGATTCTAATAGTTTAAACTACCCTTTTGGGTATACCGATTTTATGGTTAATAGTTGTATAAAACCATTAAGTTTACACTTTAATGAGTTAGCATAACACTAATGGCTAAAAAAAGGTTTATGATTCATATTTTTGTAATTAGTGCCTTATAACTTTTAGTAAATTGTACATTTGGCAAAAGTCGTAAAATTTGAAATCAAAATGCTTCAATTAACATAGGACAATTTATTGGCAGAAATTTAGTTCACCCCACCATAACACCGGTATATTG